AACCCAGTATGAGCCAGTCAAAGCGCCCATCCCTGCTCCCTTTGTTAGGGGTCCCACAAGTAGACCAAGCTACACAGCTGTCACACATATGTAGTGCCTAGGTCAGTCCCCATAAGATAATTCTTACACAGCTATGAGCATGTTACAAATTAAATTCAAAAAACATACCAAATGGATGATACTGATTTTGCATGGATTCTTGAAATACGGTTTCATTGTAGTTTATTAGGGGTTTCCCTGACTTCCTAGTCCGGATTCATCATCAAGGTACCTCAACAATATACCTGCCTCCACTTTACTGTATTAGCCACCAGATTATACTCTCTACGAGTAAAGGACTTCCCATTTTCTTTGATGTAGCTTCTTGCACTATGCTTAGCATATGAAAGGCACTCAACAAATCTTTTAGCCGAATGAAACCCTTTTGTTTAGCTAAAGCAACCCTTTAGCTTGCTTACTCAGTCTCTGCTTGGAACTATGATGTTATGTGTGTATTGGTGAAAGTGCTTTTTGCTCCAAGTAACAGGATTAAACAATGTCAGGTTTACTTTGTCACATGAAGCCATCAATGGCTCCAATTCCAGGGGCTCTGATGCCCTCTGCAGGCACCAGGCAGGAAAGTAATATACAAACATACATGCAGGTATAACACTCATAAATTTTAAAACACTTTTTTAAAGAGCTCTCTAAGACTTCATGTTAAGCCTGACTCTAACCTGAACTCCAAAGTCAGGGAAACTACTGGTGTAAGTGAGTTCAAACCTCCAGTTTGAGATGCAAAGGTGTGCTTGAGTGTTTGAACAGGACTGGCGGGCAGGCAGGCTTAGAGGCCAAAGACTGCTGCAGCGAAACGGACGAGGGCCAGGGGCTCTTCCTCCAGCCTCAGTAACCGAGTGCTGTCCTGCATCTGGCTGGCACCCAGTCCCCACCTGCAGCCCGCTGAAGAGCCCAGCCAGGGGCAGTTGGTCTGCAGGGAGCACCTTCCCCGGCACCCTGGGGGCGGCTGCCTGAGCCTGGCGGCTGGCCCTATAAACTGAAGGCTTGCAGCCCCTGGACCCTACTTGCTCCCCTGAGCCCTGCCGGGGCCTTGCCAACAGCAAAGAAAACTACAGTAAGGGCACCGCCGACCGACAGGGGCCTCAGCCATGCTGCTCTGCCGTCTCCCGGCACCCACCCTTCGCCCACACATAAAAGGACACTGCCCTGCCAACACCTCCTTCCTCCCGCATCCCAGCAGCTCCTGCCGCTGCCCTTCCTAGTCGGCAGCAGCCTCCGTTCCGGAAAACATCACACCGAGACCTGGCACGGCCACCACCCCGTGACCCTCCCTGGCTCAGTGCGTGGTAAGGGACGAGGAGCTTGAGGTGACTTTTCTTGGACCCCAGCCACCTTGCACTCTTCCCTCCTGTGCAGCAGGAGGCTAAGTAAGACCTGATCTCAGCCGGTCCCCCATCCTGCGCCCCCACCCCCACTCACGGAGCCTGGTCTACAGAGCACAGCCCTGAGATCCGTGCCCAGGAAAGAATACAAGGTTGCAGAACCCTGAGCTGCCCAGGGGAAATAGCCAGACACACATGAGCAGCAATGCAGTCAAGAAGCACCCACAGACGTTGAAAATCCGAGACCAGAGAGATGCACCTGAAGTCCGTCACAGGGAGGGACTTTGCCACTGCCATGCGGATTATCTGATATGCAACCCCGTGAGAGGGTCCTTCAAGCCCAAAGGGGTCAGGACCCGCAGGTTGAGAATCACTTCTCTAGAGACTCAGAAGGTTTATGTGAACCTGGCGGTGGTGGCACATGTCTCTAATCCTAGCACTTGGGAGGCAGAGGCAGGCGGATCTCTGTGAGTTCAAGGCCAGCCTGGTCTACACAGCAAGTTCCAGGACAGCTAGTACTGTTGCACAGAGAAGCCCTGTCTCAAAAAAAAAAAAAAAAAAAAAGTTTAGATGCAAAGCAGATACAGTAGTTGGGTTGACCCTCCTGGATAGGAAATGCCTGTCCCAGACTAAATCTTAGTCAGTGCCTCAGTGAGAGAGGATTAAAGATGCTACGAGGGTCTGGTACGCATCCCAGTCTGCTAACCCTTACTCCAGCTAGGTCTGTGGCTCAGGCCTCCAGATCCACAGAGACCTGCTCTGCTATGGGTTGATGTGAGCCCCAATTCCCAGCCACAAGTTTCCATGACTACTCTTCCCTGCTTTAGGCTGAGCTGGATCCAAAGGATGCTCCTTCGTTCTCTACATTTCGTTAAGCCCATGCCCTGCTGGGAGCATTCCCCATATCTAGAAAGACCTTTTTATCTAGGTAATCCATCCCAGTGTCCAAATCGTCTTACCTATTCCTCAACCTGGTGGTGTCCCTGCCTCTTTCTGTCCAGGGACTCCAGTGTTCCCAAGGTCTGTTGTCACCATGGCAGAGAGGGGGTTCAGGTCTCTGCCGGGGGACAAGCTGCAGTTGTGTGACAAGACTTTTCTGGGGAGATGCAGCCCAAGCCTACATACCCCAGACAGGAAGCCCATGACAGACCAAAGCAGGAACACCATCAAAGTCCAAGTTGGTGAACCAGTGAGTTTTATTGGGGTAACTCACAAGAATGGGGTGAGGGCTGCTTACGGGAGCAGAATGACTAAAGAGTCCTAGTGTAGACTTCCAGTCTGTTGAGCTAGCTGCAGGCAGGCTGTGCAGTGTGCTCCGGGTTCCCAGAGCATAAATACGTGCGGGCTGTCACTATGCTGGGGTAGGTTTTGTTGTCCCTTCTGCTTTGACATCATAGTAAACTTAAAAGGCTGTGAACCGAAGCCCTGGAAGCCCGGAGTTGTAACGTAAGGACTAGCCAGCTCTTCCACCACAGGCCAGCCAGCTCCAGCTTTGCCATTGAAGGAGAAGGAGCGCCTCCTGGTGGAGAAGAGGAGCTCAGGCCTAGACAGTTTTAATCTTGCCTGGACAGTTTTAATACCCAGGTCTTTGGTGTGGTGATATTTCATTTGTAATCTAATAAAGCTTGCCTGAAGGTCAGAATGCAAAGCTGGGCCCTAGTTAGCCACACACCTAGTTAAGAGCTAAGCCACTAGTTAGCCGAACACCTAAGCCATTAGTTAGCCACATAGGACAGGCAGTGGTGACCACAACTTTTATCCCAGAACTTGGGAGACCGAGGCAGATGGATCTCTGTGAGTTCAAGGCCATCCTGGGCTACATGAGAGTGAATCAGTCTAAAAGAGAGCTCATGCCTTTAATCCTAGCACCAGAGAGGCCAACCTGGTCTACAGAGCTAGTTCCAGGACTACACTGTCTTGAAAAAAAAAAAAAACTACTATGTCCTTGAGAACAGAAGGGAGAACAGAGCATTTCTAGCCATCTTCTCAGCTACTAACTGGAGATGTTCTACTTAGGATACTCTCCATCATTTGTGGGTGTCAGTCGCTTGTTTGCTGTTGGAGTATTTCTCTGCTGCCTGATAAACGTGGACCTTTAAAAGCTAGGGCAGGGCTAGCATGGATCATTCCTCAGACGGAGCACTAACTGTTCAGATTCGGGGCCCAATCTAAGTTACTCCATATGCCCAGGTGACTGTCTCGCACTTCCCATCCCCTTAACTATCAAAATAGCTGCCGACAATAGGCTTACTTGGTTCCATCTAAAGAGTGTGTCTGGGCCAGGCCGTGGTGGCGCACGCCTTTAATCCCAGCACTCAGGAGGCAGAGGCAGGTGGATCTCTGTGAGTTCGAGGCCAGCCTGGTCTACAGAGTGAGTTCTGGGACAGCCTCCAAAAGAAAACAGAGAAACCCTGTCTCAAAAAAACAAACAAACAAACAAACAAAAAAAAGAAAAAGAAACAGAAAAAACAAAACAGAAAAACCCCAAACAAGCAAAAAAATAAAAAATAAAAAAAACTGGGTTTGTGTTGGGGGAAAAGTCCATGCCAGAATGTCATTGGGTAGCTTATTAGCAGGAATTCCATCTCTGAGTTAGAAAGGAGGGAGGGCTAAGAAAAACCCATTTGGCTCCTGGAGATGACAAAGGGAGCAGTCACAGGATGTGTTTCCCATTGCTTAGCTCAGGACAGAATGTCTTTAAAATTACCAACAAAATTGTTGTAATGGCACCCAAGGAAACAACAGCCATATCCAATTTTGACCCCACACAGATTAGCCTCAATGACTTGGTAACTCCAGACCAACATTCTAGGAACACACATCTCCCAGAAAACTGCCAAAATAAAACATATCAGTGTGAGTGTGTGTGTGTTTCCAGACTTAAGTCAATAAAATATACTCCATATGCTAACATAGAAACTTAAACATAGCTCAATGTGGAGGCACACACCTGTAAACCCAGGACTCAGAGAACAAAGGCGGGTGGATCTCTGTGAGTTTGAGGCTAGCCTCATCTATTGTCTAACTTAGTGAGTTACTACTACACAGTATGGTCGTCTCAAGAAAACAAACATTAACCCTTTGAACTTGGAGTCTGAGGAAAGCAATGAAGAATGCCAGCACCAATAGAAATTTCAGCTTTGTTGCTGTAGTTTTCTTGTCCCGACAGGTCCCGCCGCCCTTCTCAATCCCGAATAAACACACGGACGCTGTATTAACTATTAAACTGTTGACCGATGACTGGGGCTTCTTACTTACTAGCTCTGTCTTCGTAATTAGCCCATTTCTATAACTCTATGTATTTCCATGTGGTCTTGGCTAACTGGCGAATGCCGGAACCTGTTACTCCTTTGTCATCATCTGCATGGCATCTCTTTGCAGCACCTCTCTGCCTACCTTTCCCAGAATTCTTCCCGTCTCCTAGTCCCGCCTATCTTCCTGCCTCTATTGGCCAAACAGTGTTTTATTCATCAACCAATAAGAGAAACATGTGTGCAGAAGGGCGTTCCCCAATCACAGTTTGTCAACTGTTGAGGTCCTAACCCAGCCCATCCCTACTGTGGAATGAAGGCGTCCTGGGCGCGCCAATGGCATCGGCTCTTAACAAGGGCACTGAAGCCTGTACACACAGCCACCTCTCGTCCTTCGTTGTTTGTCTGGCCTTAGATGGTACAGGATGATGTTTTGAGAACTGCCCCGTACCCCGCAAGAGGTACAACTTTGCATGGCTGAGCTGGATTACATCACCAATCCTGCTTTCAAGAGCTACCTGTCTTTCAGAAGACCCCCCGCCTCCCCCCCCCCATGAAAGTATGTAGCTCATAATTTACCCACATCACGTTGCTTCCACATCGGATGGCCACAACACCTAGCTGACAGTGGCTCAGCATAACCTAGAAACGAGTAAGGTCCTTGATGTGCCTTGATGGTGTCTTCGTGCGTGCGTGTTCAAAGAAGGCAGAAGAGAACCCGGGATCCGCTGAAGCCAGAGTGTCGGGGGATTGTGAGTAGACCGAACTTAGACCTTCTGCAGAGCAGTCGGCACTCTTAACCTCTGAGCTGTCTCTCTACACGTAAATCCTTAAAAAAACAAAAAACACACACTAGTAAGGCGTATTCTACAGTCGGTTTCTATGCAGAATTCGACTACTCCAGGTCAAACCATATCGCTATGCGTTCAGTCCTATGCATTTTTAAAAGGGCCTCTCCTAGAGGTAAACACGGGAAAAGCTGTATCTTCTAAAAGATACAATTCAGTGTGCATGGCTGGAGGAGAGGGGACGTTTCGGGGCTCCCAGACCTGGGCCCACACAGAGAGAGAAGGGCGGCTTCCCGGTCTGGGCCCTGCAGGTCAGCATTCCTGAAGGCCGGAAGTCGGCGAGCTGGCGGGCGGGCGCTAGGACCCGGGGTTGCTGGGTGCGCGGAAGCGGGCGGCACGGGACTGCGGGGCCCGCGGGGCGGTGGCACCGGTGAGGACGCCGCCTGGGGTCGGGCGTGCGGGCCGGGCGGGTGCGAGCAGCGAGCGAGCCCCGGAGCAGGTGACCCTGCGGCGGACCGGAGGAGGGGGTAAGGGCTCCAGGGGGCGGGCCGGGCTGTGCGGGGCTCGGGTCCCCGCCGCCCCCTCTTGCATCCCGCAGCTCCGGCTGCGGGGAAGAGGGAGTGGCTGCCTGACGTTTCCAGGGAGCAGGGCCGGGGAGCACGATATGCACCAGGGTGCTGGGCGCTCCCGGAGTTATGGACTGCGCGGGGGACATGGACGTGGCGGGTGTTGGTGGTTCTGGGCCAGGTCTGTGTTTACCAGATGCCAAGCGCCCGCCACTGGAAACCGTGTCATTCTTGCTGGTAAAACAAAGTGCGTGCGTGCGTGCGTGCGTGCGTGCGTGTGTGTGTGTGTGTGTGTGTGTGTGTGTGTGTGTGAGTTCTCTTGTCAGTTTAATATAGAACAATTATTGATGAGCATGGGTAGGTGCAAGGGAGACCGCACCGTTCGGGGTTGTCTATGTGTTCGTGGTGTGCATAAAACGTGAAAGTGAGGAAGTAGGAATCGTTGGAGGCCAGGAGACCACTTGCGAGGGAGGAGTTACTATGTCTCAGGGCAGAGCTCACGTGAAGACAAATCTGGCAAATTGCTTTTACTTTTCAGCTACGTTTCTATCTTCAGCGATGAATTCTTTCCCCCCACTAAGTAGGCAGCCTTCAATCCGCTTTAGATGGTGGTTTGGAAACTTCCCCTTTGCAGGATGGGGGTGCAAACAGACATCTACACCCTCCTTACAGGGTCCGATTGACAAAGTACAGCTCCATCGAAGCCCACTTTGGGGAACCATTGAGTTTCCTGGGTTTACCTACAGAACATGGGCGATCCCAGAGCAGCAGAATCACATCACTCTGCGAGGACGGTGGATTCCCCTCAGGTAGCTGTCCAGTGTGCACACTGAAGCTAATGGGTGACGTGCAGTAGGACAGAACTATAGATAATGGGCCGGGAGGCCACGACACCTCACCCCCACCCCCAAGAGAGAACGACAGAAGCCGACAGGCCTATCTTGAAGGTCACATTGGATGTGGTAACAGTTACCCCCCCCATGAAGATGATGGCTGCCGGGCTTGGGGGACAGTGATACCCCAGACTCTCCCAACGACCTCTTTGTGAAAGCAGATAGCAACTGCCCTCACCTGCTGAGCCATCCTGCCAGCCAACGATCAATGCTTTAGAACATGGGGCCTGGGGAAAGGGATAGGGAAGGGGATTCGGTTCTGCCGCTTGCATCCGTCATTTTGACCGTGAAAATAATTGGGTGAAGTCGGCGGCATGTTTTAATTTAACCCACTAGATCTAAAATGTGGCGGTGTCAAGCCTGTAACCAACATACTGAGAGCGGGATGTTTCCCCCGGAAGCCTTCGGCTGTGGAACAGTCCCCAGGGGCGTGCAGCAGTTTGTGGGCAGTGCAGGTCTCAGGGCTCCATGCTTCACTGGAGGCTAAACTCGGTTCAGCTTGTGTTTATCGTTGCTTCTCCATGGAATTTTTGGTTTTTCGAGACAGGGTTTCTCTGTGTAAGCTTTGGAGCCTGTCCTGGCACTCACTCTGTAGACCAGGCTGTGGCCTCGAACTCACAGAGACCCGCCTGCCTCTGCCTCCCGAGCGCTGGGATCAAAGGCGTGCACCGCCACGGCCCGGCTTCTCCAAGGATTCTTGCAGGGAAACCACGAGATATCCCTTACTGCTTGCTGCTCACCGTTGCTCTTTAGTGGAGAGCCACAGGTAGCGAGGAGGGACTAACACTCAGTGTTCCTCAGTAAAACCACGTTCACAGCCCAGGTTAGACCGCTTGTGGGGAAGAGGCACTGTGTTTGCCTGATCTGTCTCAGTCAGTTAATGACGCTCACCCCAGAGTGCCCAGATCTATGTAGTAATGTATACATCACTCCCTGTGATGGCTGAAGAAACTTCATATGATGCCAGGCATCCCTTAAGGGCGGTTGACCTTTGCCCTGGAATGTCTGAGAGACCCTTAGTGAGATAAGCATAGGATAATGGTGTCCCTGCTCTGAGGTCTTTAACTCCTTGCTTTCTGCTCATGCAGACTTGCTATTTAACTCCTTGCTTTGGCTCCTTTCTGTGGGGCTGGGAGGAAGTGGTCGTTTTCTTGCTGTACAAGAGGAAAGAGAAACTACTGAGGGGGTTAAGACAGTTTTCTTGCCAGCGGTGGCTTCTGTAGGTAATTGTAGTGCCCACCTGTGGTGTCCACCTTTGTAAACCTCCCTTTAGCCCCCTTGGGCACGGCATGCCATTTGGCTCAAAGGCTGCCTTCTTTGTGGATGTCACAACCTGCTGCCTGGGAAGCAGTTTAACAGTGGAGGATACTGAGGAAGCCTTCATCATTCTGGGGGAGCCTCTGAAATGATGGACACTTGGGCTGCCTTGATGGGTGTAGCATTAAACCTTGTTCTCACACCTCTTCCTTCAGTAAGCGTAAATTCATTTAATCTATCTAAATTTGAAATGAGTCTTTGCTCTTTTCCAGTGGATTCCAATGCTACAACACTCTCGACACAGAGGATTCAGTTGTTTTTGAGTGAGTTAGTCTGTCTGTCTGTCTGTCTGCCTGTCTGCCTGGTGTTGTATTTTACTCCATCTGTGTTGTGATCGGGCTCAATGCTTAGTAGCTAACTGGTATTTACAGACAAGATGAGAGTGAGCTGTCATAGTTCTCCAGTGGACCTGCCGTTTCCTTGTTTAGAGGACTTGTGCCTGTCCTGCCCTCAGGGACATGTTCACGGACACTCACACGTCCAATTGCAGAGGAATTCAGTTTAAGAAGTGACAGAAAGAACTTTCTATTTTTCCCTCCTGACTTTAAAGATGGGAGCCCCGGGCTTGGATTTAGGTCAGCGTGGCTAGCAAGTTTGCCTCAAGGTCTGTGTAAGAGGTGAGGAACCATCTTTGAATGAGTCTGAACTCAGGGTTAGCTTCCTGGATGGCTGTGGAGGAGCTGTCTCCGTCTTGGTGACATGATAAGTGTAAGTGCAGAATGAGGAGCGACGCTGGCTTGGATGGTTGCTCAAGACAGGTTTCCCTCTAGGAAGCTGAGGATGTCCTGGTCACTGGAATAGGAAGGAGGAACCAGGCCTGGAGAGAGCTAAAGAGCGGAAGGACCACCTCAGATCTGGACAAGTCTAGGCCCAAGGAGGTAGGAGAGAGCTCAGGACATCAGCACGAGGAGCCAAGACTAGGCGGTAGCTTGGTGGAGACGTTGCTAGGATACAGTAGGGGTCGCACCTGGATTTTTATTACTGGGATTACCAACGGAGAGCAGGGCCAGTTCTCAGTCTAAAGACTGGAACGGATCGTATTAGTAAAGGACAAACATCTTATAGACAATCCCACAGCACTTTTAAGGCCCAGTGAAGCCTTTGTTCCGTCCTGTAACACTTGGACGAAAGGCTCCCACCTCCATCGTAATTGCGGGCCCCAGGGTGGTGCCTAAGAGAAAACCGGGGGTTCCCTGCCAGGCCTAACGAACGACGTCTTCACTTTCTTCTGGTGAGGGCCCGGGGTTGCCCTAATCATAAAGGCCTGGTGCCTTAGTATCAATTCTGTAGGTCCGTCTCTTGCCAGCGGTGTTTATAGTGCCGTTGCCGCCTTAGTGGCACGAGGGGCGGAGTTAAGCCCAGTGTAAGCAGACCGCCCTGGTCCTGTGATTCGGAGGCACATCTTCCCGCATAATCACTTCTGGGACCCCTTGACTGTGGCCTGCGTGAGCAAAGCCTGGATGTCCCTCTTCCCAGAGGCGTTAGCTTCTGAGCTCCTCGGATACCCATGTGCGAGAGTCCAGCTCCCGTGGGGCTCAGGTCCCCAAGAGGAGGTGTGGAGTCGGTGAGGGGAGGACACTGACACGGTCCGGGGTGAGTCGAGATGACTGTCCATTTACTGAAAATAGGCCACACCTTTATACTCTGTACTTGCTTTTAGTTTAGCCACAAAGCCATGTTGAAAGCGTACTTAATGATTCCAGTCATTAGTGCCATTACAGCGTTTTTCTTGAAGCAAAAAAAAAAAAAAAAAACCCAGTAAGTTTAACAGTGTGGTGGTGGCGCATGCCTTTATCCCCAGCACTCGGGAGGCAGTGGCAGGCGGATCTCTGTGAGTTCAAGACCAGCCTGGTCTACAGAGTGAGTCCCAGCCAGGACAGTTATACAGAGAGACCCTGACTGGAAAAACTACAGCCAACCAACCAAACATGAAAGCAGTTTAGTAAGAGTCTAAATGCCCATTGGCCTCTAAGGTCGGTGACACCGCCAGATGCCCCTTACACTTCCTCCTGCAGTCTCAGCCCTTGTCGGGAGCTGTCAGACATTGAGTCCTGTGAAACTAACCACAAGGGGGATTTCATTCTTCAAGGGCGTGATGCAGCGTTTGTACCGTGTAGCGCAAGCACTGAGCTGTTTACTCATTGCATTCCTTTGTGCCTTAGTCTTAAGACAGGGGTCTGTTTTCCTCGTAAGCTTGCAAAGAGGAAGGTCCTGACGCCTTCCTTCTTTTCCACGACACCGTACCATTCAGAGTCCCTCAGTGTATGCCTGTGTGTGTGGCAGAGGAGGATCGAGCCAGAATCCGCTCCCTGTGAGGCGGACCAGAGTTGCCATTCATGCAGTAAGCTGCTCTAATCTTGAGTTGTGGTCTACACTCGTTAACTGAACTCTTGCCCTAAATGGCCTTAGGCTATGACTCTGGGACCATTGTTTCTCCATGGAACCAGATATGTCCAGGTTCTTTAACTTCTCTCTTGCTGGTGGATTGGGGGCAAGGATAATGGGGGGTCTTGTATGGGGAGTAAGCAGAGTGTTCATGCTATATGGTTCCAGGGCGGTAGGGATTGTTTTCCAAAGAATTAATTTTGTTCACAGAGATTGACATTGTTTATATTCTCATCCCTTGCTGAAGTGCATACAAAATCCCCAAAGAAAGGGATGAGGGGGAAAAGGATGAGGGGGGAAAGGATGAGGAGGAAAAGGATGAGGAGGGAAAGGATGAGGAAGAAAAGGATGAGGAGGGAAAGGATGAGGAAGAAAAGGAGGAGGAGGAAAGGAGGAGGAGGAAAGGAGGAGGAGGAAAAGGATGAGGGGGAAAAGGAGGAGGAGGAAAGGAGGAGGAGGAAAAGGATGAGGAAGCCCCCATTACACACAGAATTGTTAAGATGAAAGTGAAAGAGCTGGAGAATTGTGATCCACAAAGTCGGAATGCTGGGATTTTGTCAAGCAGGGGTGGTCGTCATGTGGTCCACACCACCCAAGTGTTCATGTCTCTGCACTTGTCGTCTGGAGACGACTCAGCAGTAGATCTGGGCAATCCCCATCCTTCTTCTGCGTCCAGCCTCTTCTGTGCTGTGCAGCCATGGTTGTGATGGTCGAAGCTTGGGAGGTCGAGTGAACTGATGTGATAAATAGGGCATTTAGCAGGGTACCAAGTGCCCTGGGAGTAAGATCACAGTATGTCCCGGTTTTTCTCAACTCTAGTCTCTGCCAATACGAATTCCCGCCACTGCTTTCAGTCTCCTTAACTAGGCGTCTTCAGAGTTCTTCCTCTGCCTCTCGTGATGCTTACACACGGCAAAGCTGTGTAGAAGTCACCTCCTCTGCATGACACCTCCCCCTAGTAGCGTCTCATGTAGCCCAGGCTGGTCTTGAATTTTCTGTGATTCAGAAGAAGTGCAGGGATTGCAGGTGTGTGACGTGACCGCCTTGTCTGTGGCTGCTGGCTTGAGTGTGCTCTTGATGTGTCCATTCCTGTCCGCAGGCATCATGACACCCTTGAAGACGCAGCACTCCCTGGTGGGTCAGCCTTACGCAGTGCCCCTTATCCAGCCAGACCTGCGACGAGAGGAGGCGATCCAGCAAGTGGCCGACGCCCTGCAGCACCTGCAGAGCATCTCTGGAGACATCTTCAGCAGGTGGGACCTGTTACCCAGCTGTTCCGATAAAGCTCGAGGGGCACCTTGTGTGGGGGACCATGGCGGATTCCACGGCAGGCGAGGGTGACCGAGGCAGGGACAAACGCGCCAGGCAGACAGAGCTGAAGTGAGAAGTTTTATTAGAAAGGGGAGGGAGGGGGGAAAGGAAGAGAAAAGAGGTAAAGAGACACAGAGAAGAGGGGGACAGGGAAAGTCCTGTCTGCCCCAGGGGGACAGCGGGAAGAGAGCTGGAAAAGAGCAGAAAGAGAGCCTAAGTGGGCGGGGGTCTTTCTTTTAAAGGTGTCCTTTGCACCTGCGTGCAGACTATGCAATCACTGAACCCTGGGCTGACCAGGGCACTGCCCGAGTGCATTCTGCCAGGTGGCAGGGGCAGGCCAGCATAGTCCTGGAGCCTTACATTCCCACCTTCTTTATTGTTGAAAAGGTGAGGAGTTAGGTGTGGCAGGTTAGGGAATGACGACATAAGCCAGTGCATCTCACTGTAACCATCACTAAGTACATGATGTTGTGTGACTGTGTGTGCTGTGTTCTCTGCAACTGGCCAAACAAGGTTAGTTTTCACCAGCCTGTCCTCCAACCCGGGACTGAGGTGCTGCCTTATGGCAAGGTTACCGTAAGGCAGTTATGGGAGGGGAGGTTTCCTGCTCTGTAGTGATGTCACGGGAGAACAGATGAGCAGAGGGTTGAAGGGAAATGGTGGGCACATGGTCAGTGACGCTCTGCAAAGGGGGCATCTGCCTGGCTTCATTGGGAATGTGGGTTGTGTTTGGACTCTCCTGGCCATCTTCTCATTCTCTGCCAGAGTCTTGTTAAACATGTTGTGCTCAAAAAAAAAAAAAAAAAGCCATGTGGTAGTGGCGCACGCCTTTAATCCCAGCACTCGGGAGGCAGAGGCAGGCGGATCTCTGTGAGTTCGAGGCCAACCTGGTCTACAGAGTGAGTTCCAGGACAGCCAAGGCTGTTACACAGAGAAACCATGTCTCAAAAAACAAAAAACTATGTTGTGCTCCAAGCCAGAGGCGTCAGTGGAGAGTCCCTGACCTCTTGTCCTCTGTGGCGCCTAAGTTATTTTCCCTGCTGCTGTGATAAAGCAACCTGTCAGAAGCAAACTCTGGGTGTATTTTGACTCCGCGTTTGAGCTGCAGAGCTTGGCTTCTCAGGGCTAATGCTCAGAGGTCAACTCTGGGTAGGGCTACAAGCAGGAGCTGATACTCTTGGGGGCTGGGGAGACGGAAGAGCATCGAGACAGTGACATCATGTCACACATGGTCAGAGTCAGCATCCCAGGGAGGTAGATAAACTCGCTGTAGCACAGAGGTGTGGGGAAGGGGTTGTGAAGTTTATACTTCGAGTGGGAACCACTTGGGTGCACTGCGAGCCCCTGATGCATCTGTGCCGGGCCCTGTGCAAGACTACAGCGCGGTAAGTGGCGGAAGGCCTGGGTCTTTACAGCGCGGTAAGTAACGGAAGGCCTGGGTCTTTACAGTGTGGTAAGGGAGGGAAGGCCTGAGTCTTTACAGCGCGGTAAGTGACGGAAGGCCTGAGTCTTTACAGTGTGGTAAGGGAGGGAAGGCCTGGGTCTTTAGTGTGTACAAGATACACTAGGGATTGTGGGGAAGTTAGCAGGCTAAACCTGGGAAGTCCAGGGACAGACTTTTAGTCTGGTCAGGGAAGCTCCGATGAGGGAAGCCCTTAACAAAGGGAAGGGGTTGGTCCTGTGAGTGCTCAGTATTCCATTTGATTCAGAGACCCAGAGGCAGCCCGGGCTCATCAGGACACTTGGCACTGTGTGCTCACCCCTCAAGAGGGCCTGGGGCAGGCGAGGGCGGGGCTGGGCAAGTCTCATAGGCCAGCACCGGGACGTCATGTGTACTCTGTGAACCATCTGCAGGGTATAGGGCGATTCCTCATCTGCTGCGGTTGAGTTACAGGAGAGGCCATTTGGTCTGGTTCTGCTTGCTTCTCTGCAGAGACCGGAAGCCTGTGACCACCAAGGGTACTCGTGGCTGCAAACGTCAACTGTCAGTGGCTGGCACTTGTGTGTAGTAGCTAGTATCTTCCTGCCTCAAGGTTGTGAACTCCTGGGTCCGGGGGTCACATGTGGACACCAGAATAGAGCCACAGTGGCTGTCCTTCTCTGTCCAGAGCTCATGGCAAAGAGTTTCTAGACCCCTTGGGATGAATAATAGGGGCAGACAGAGGTCAGGTGAACGGCACCAAGACCAGCCCAACAGGCAGGTTGTACCCTGTTGAGCGCTTAAGCGCAGGACTTGGCGAGGCTCAGGTCTGTGCTGGCACGGGGGCGCCCATCCCTACATTTCTTTCTTTGACAGGATCTCCCAGCGAGTGGAGCTGAGCCGGCGCCAGCTGCAGGCCATTAGGGAGAGGGTCTCCTTGGCCCAGGCTAAGATAGAGAAGATCAAGGGCAGCAAGAAGGCCATCAAGGTAGGTGTGACCTCTGCTCTGTGGCGGTGCCGTGACCTTCCTGTGCCCCTGCTGTTCAGCCACGGCTCGCTTCCCTCCTGCGAGTGGTCACCCCGTTCTCAGTGCCTGCGTGGGAGCACCAGGCTGACCTGAACGTGTGGGCCCCAGAGCTGACCCTGTTTCTGCAGGTCTTCTCTAGTGCCAAGTACCCAGCGCCCGAGCGCCTGCAAGAATACGGCTCCATCTTTACGGGTGCCCTCGACCCTGGTCTGCAGAGGAGACCCCGTTACAGGATCCAGAGCAAGCACCGTCCCCTGGATGAGCGGGCCCTGCAGGTCTGAATGCCACCCGGTGTCACCCATCCGAATGCCACCTGCATGTTACGCACGGCTGCTGGGAGGCAGGGCCCGAAGGTTGCCCCCAGATTTCGGGCGCCTAGAAGGATTCTGGTTGGGATGATGCTGGGTCCCTAAGCCTGGGACTGACACGCCATCCGCTCTGATCCCCCCAGGAGAAACTGAAATACTTTCCTGTGTGTGTGAGCACCAAGGTGGAGCCTGAGGATGAGGCTGAGGAGGGGCTCGGGGGTCTTCCTAGCAACATCAGCTCCATCAGCTCCCTGCTGCTCTTCAACACCACAGAGAATCTGTAAGGCCAGGACATAACTGGCAGGCGGACGGGATGGAGGGAGGCAAGCAGGCAGGCAGGCAGGCAGGCAGACAGACAGACAGACAAACTTTGCTTAGTTAGCGCCAGGGGCCTGAGCCTGATGTAGTAGTCCTCAGGACTAACAAGTTTGATTTGGCTTCTAAGACTTGGGGACCCTAAAGGACAAATGTAGTGGTGTTCAGGGGTCTGCCTGGCCGCAGGACGGCCTCCTGACCCTATCCCACTCCACAGGTACAAGAAGTATGTTTTCCTGGACCCTCTGGCTGGCGCGGTAACAAAAACCCACACGATGCTGGGCACGGAAGAGGAGAAATTGTTTGATGCCCCTCTGTCTATCAGCAAGAGAGAGCAGCTGGAGCAGCAGGTGGGGCGGGGTGCTTGGCCGGGCAAGCCCTGCCGGTGCGGTGCACAGTTCCAGGGAGGCCCACTAACCCTCTGTCTACCCAACTGCGTGGGCCACATGTGCTGCCTGCCCCGAGGTCCCAGTGTGGGCCCTGTGCCCTGTCACACACTTCCTGTCCCACCTGACCCTGCAGGCTCCAGAAAACTACTTCTACGTGCCAGACCTGGGTCAAGTCCCTGAAATCGACGTGCCGTCCTACCTTCCCGACTTGCCTGGCATCGCAGATGACCTCATGTACAGCGCCGACTTGGGCCCTGGCATCGCCCCCTCTGCCCCTGGTGCCATTCCGGAACTGCCCACCTTCCACACAGAGGTGGCTGAGCCTTTCCAGCCCGGTGAGCTGGGCCCTAGGATGGGATTGAGCCACAAAGTTCCCGCTGGCTCCTTCCCCAAATCCTCATACGTTCTCACACTCCTTCCAGAACTGGACGGCGGAGTGCTTCTGGCAGCGCCACCTCCCCCGCCACCACCGCCGCCACCTCCCCCAGCTCCCGCTGTGGTGGTCAGCACCCCACAGCCACCAGTGTTCCCTGAAGTGGCAACTGCGCCTGGCCCGGTTGCCAGGGAAGAAGACGCTGGCGGCAGCGTGGGCCACTCAGGTAGGACAGTGCAGGTGGGCTCAGTGGCTGGCCCTCATTAACAGGACCTCCATTTCTCATGCCGGGATCCCTGAAGTCTCTGTAGGTCACCTAGGCCCGGGATCTGCAGGCAGTTTTCGCTGTGGACATGTAGTCTTAACGGGGCTGATGGAGTGGTGTCTGTGGGATCCTGACTCTCAGGGCAGAGGAAGCTTGGGAAGGTGGTGTGCCCTGTTTCTAGTTAAGGCAGTGGAAAGCGTCGATTAGCAAACTTGAAATTTCCAGATTTCCACTTGGCTCCAGTCACCTCACCGGGTAGAAAATCGTTTGTTGGCTTGTGGTGCTCGGCACAGCAGACTCGGTGTTTTGCTGCAGAGTGCATAGAAATAGGGGTAGAGAGGGAGGAGAGATGCCTGGCCACGAGGCCACTCGGCTCGTTGTCCACACCGCATCAGGCCAGAAGCCACGGCTTCCCGGCTGGGCTCCCCGGGGATGGCAGGCCCCTCCGTTTGCCGGGATCCCGAGAAACCGCCAGCCTCAGGCTGGGCAGCCTTCCCCGCCCTGCAGTGCCAGCAATCCTTCGTCCTTCTCCTCCCAGCCTCCGTCCAAGGAGCTCCTAAGGAGGTGGTTGACCCCTCCAGTGGCCGGGCCAGTCTGCTCGAGTCCATCCGCCAGGCCGGGGGCATTGGCAAGGCCAAGCTGCGCAGCGTCAAGGAGCGCAGGCTGGAGAAGAAGAAGCAGAAGGAGCAGGAGCAAGGTGAGGGACCTCGGGTCTGTTGCAGCAGCCAGCCTCCGCCAGCCCGCAGGGAGTCCTTTGTGGCCCCTTGTCCCTCTGGCCTGGGCCGCGGGTTCCCTGGGGGAGCCTTTCCTGCCTTGAGCTCTCCCAGCTGAAATCTTGAGCAAGGAGAACGCTTGACAGGCATTGCCCAGGGAAACTGGGGAACCCAAAGTCCTCTGGGACGAGGAGGAAGACTTGCCCTTATCCACCCCGAGGACCAGGCTTCCGTCTGCCAAGAATCCTTGCTAGTGGCATCCTAGTCAGCCTGTGTGTGAAGTGTCGGAAGTCCTGGGCTTGTCCCATGGACCTCCTTCTGACCTGCTTTGTGACTGCGTGCCCGTAGCCTGGCCTCGCTGAGCCCATGTCCTTATCCACACGGGAACTGAAACAGGAAGGCGGGGCGGGGCTGTCATGGGCTTACCATGTGTAGGCACGTGTTGAGAGCAGGTGGAGGAGTGTTGGGGGCAGGTGAGCCCCGTGTGTGGCGCGTCGTTCTTGCTTTCTTCTCCTGACCTGTTGCTCTCCCCCTGCAGTGAGGGCCACCAGCCAAGGCGGGGACTTGATGTCTGACCTCTTCAACAAGCTCGTCATGAGGCGCAAGGGTAGGCACCTTGTGCATCTCTCTCTCTCTCTCTCTCCAGCCCTGTGTCTCTCTGTCTCTGTCTCTGTCTCTCTCTCTCTCTCTCCAGCCCTGTCTCTCATTGTCCCACTGTCTCTCTCCTCACCTCTCCCTCCCAGGAATTTCTGGAAAAGGACCTGCCTCCGGGACCAGTGAGGGGCCTGGGGGAGCCTTCACCCGCATGTCAGACTCCATCCCACCTCTGCCACCCCCTCAGCAGCCCGCGGGAGATGAGGATGACGATGACTGGGAGTCCTGAGTGCGCCCTGGCCCTTCTCCCACGTTGGGCGGGGACAGCTGTGAGGGGCTCCTCCTCTCGGGTCCTGTTGCCCGAGGCGGTCCCAGGGTTGTACAGGTGTTCGGGTCTGTGCCCGGTCTCTCTTCATGTAGAGGGGGCCGCGAGGCGCCTGCTGCCTCCCTGCTTCTCTGCACCCTCCCCTCAAGAGCAGCGGCGGCGGCAGCAGGCCTGGAATAAAGAAAGTAGCGGCCTGAACCCCAGCCAACCGAGCCCTCTTAGTAAATGAACGGCAGCCATGCCCGCTGCCAACAGCGTCTTCTCAGGCACCCTGCAGGGTGTCTGGGGAACTGTACACTCTCTCTGGGATCAAGGAAATTGGAGATGAGGGCAGCTATTGCGGAGGGACATTTTTCCCACTGGAAAAAGGACTTGGTGTTTGCTCAGGGGGCTGAGGCCAGGCGGTGCTGCAGGCCCCAGGGAGAACTTGGAGGCGAGCTAGGAAGTTTCACCGAGGACTGAGAACACACTTGGGGTAGGGCTGAGTTAGAACTGAAACTGGTGTGAGGTCCCTGTGGATACAAGAGCCCTGAAAACGTCCAGGGCCAGCGGGAAATTGACCCTCCTGTGGAGGAAGGCCAGCAGGAAGTTGATCCTGGCCATCTTGAGTGGGACACGCAGAGCTTGGGGGGTGAGCTGCCCTGGGCTGGGCAGTTAGGGCTAGTGTTTGCAGTTTCTTCAAGCCGATCCACATTTGCTGCTGGGAGCTCTTTGGTATACAGGCCATGTGGGGTCCACTCAGGTGTGCCCCGGGCCGTCAGAAGAGCTGGAGCTCTCTGGATGAAACCGCACATTCAGGAAAGTCACCAAGGAGGCCCTGTGGGGAGGGGAGGCAGACTGAACCTCTGCACAGCAGTGAAGGCAAGACCAGAGGTGGTTTTCACCTTCACTGCTGCGGGAACCAGGATGGCAGCTCTGCCGGGACAGAGGGGCAGACCTGCACACACACACACACACACACACACACACACACACACACACACACACACACACACACACACACACACACACCTGCCGCCTCTCTGGTACCTGCTGGTCACAGCAGGGGCGTCACTGAGGGTGGGGCTGGTGCACTTCACAGTGGCCATCGGGAACCCTCCTCTGCCCTCGGCAGGTACCGTCCCTCATCCTCGAGCTGTCTGTCAGCTCCCAGCTTGCCTCTAGCTTGGTGGCAACCTTGACACTCCAATTCCCCATCAGCACCTTCCCTGGTGGGGGTCTCGCCTGGAGTTCTGGCTGCTCTGTTCTCACCTGTCCTGGTGGCGTGTTAGAGAGGAAGTCACAGAGAAGAGTGAGTGGGTGGAGGCCAAAGGGGTCAGCTCCTGTCAGAGCAGGGCCTTGCCACTGTGGCCTACAGGTGACACCCTGGCCTGTGAGTGACACAGCTTGTTACCAGGGTCATTAGTAGGCAAGGCTCAGCCGCCTTCCCTGAGTAAGCCCCTTAAACAAAACATAGTGGGGAGCAGTAAAGAGATTTGTTCCGTGTGACTCCGCTGGGAAGAGGAACAGAGGTCTAGTTACACCCCCACTGCTGCCAAGTCTGCCTCTGGAGTGTTAACACTAAGTTTAGTCAAATGGTAGACGGTATGGCAGACGTGGCCCAGCCCCTCATGACCCTCTGCCTAGCACCGCGGCCGCAGCCTTTTCCGTCTCCTGGTGGGATCCTAAGGGGGACTCCAGTCCCTGAGGTACATCAGCTCACGCGTCTGATGGCCAAAGGGAGGCACATGTATGTGTCCCAACACTGCTTTGTTCTTGTGAGAATGGCCCAGGCTCCTCTCCCCAGCCCGCCCTGTCCTCTGCAATGCTGGAGGTACTCCAGAGAGTGACTAATAAACCATTTCTCACATCCAGTACCCCACATCGTTTTGGAGGGACATTTGTGGTCATCAGCTGTGGTTACCCCCACATTTACAGCCCCTCTGGCTCTTTCCCTTTCCCCATCCTGCACCTACCCCTCGGCTTGGAGACCCTGTCCATGCCAAGGGACAGAATCCTCAGCGAGTCACAGCTGCCCACTCTGTTCCACCGGGTCTCAGCCCCAGCGGAGAGGGCACCGTCTACCAGCCCAAGTCATCAGAAGTTAATCTCTGGTCATCTTCCTCAGACCGCAGAGGAGCACGGCCTCTTCAGGTGGCCTGCAGCCAGGCCGCAGCACTGTGGAGGTCCTGCTCATCCGGGGAAGCCCAGTAACATCCCTATTTCCAGGCCTGCCTGGCCTCTGGAGCCAGCCTTACATCCACCCCTGGCTTGGAGTTTCTCATCACCCGATACGCCTGGTTTTCTTTCTTTCTTTCTTTCTTTTTTTCGAGACAGGGTTTCTCTGTATTGTTTTGGAGAATGTCCTGGAACTAGCTCTGTAGACCAGCCCGGCCTCGAACTCACAGAGATCCGCCTGCCTCTGCCTCCCGAGTGCTGGGATTAAAGGCGTGCGCCACCACCGCCCTGCACGCCTGGTTTTCTTGATGCTATGGAAGTCCAGAGAGCTGGCAAGAGTGAGACCCGAGAAAGCAGAACGCACACGGGCTGCGTCATCAGAGCGGGCAGCATCCTGACATTAGACCTCCAGGGAGAGAACATCTGCAGGGACAAGAAAATGCTTTCCAAAGGGGACTTCATGAGACTCCCTAGGGGACTGCTTAAGAGCCTGGGTTGTGACGGGGCTGGAGAGATGGCTCAGTGGTTAGTTAAGAGCACTGGTCCTTCTTTCAGACAGACTTGGGTTCAGTTCCCAGCACTCACATGGCAGCTCAGTCACTGTGACTGCAGTTCCAGGGGATCCGATATCTCCTCACCAGTGCATATAAAATAAAGTTAAATGGATTATTAAAAAAAAAGCCTGGGTTGTCACCAGCTGTGGTCTTTAATCCCAGCTCTTGGGAGGCAGAGGCGGGCATCTGAGTGCCAGGATAGACAGAGAAACCTTGTCTTGAAGTGGGGGGTGGGAGGGACTGCTGGGTTTTGGAGCCTGGGGTTGGAACTTGATATAATCAATGTTTAGGCAAAGAGTTGGGCAGCCCACAGATCCTGGGAGTGGGAGAAGGAGCCAGAGCTTGAGGAGACCTGGGAGACGCTCCAGATGGCGCTGTCCTCACACAGCCAGGTCTGACTGCTGCTAGTCACCGTTTCCTGATGGCCAGGACCACCAGCCCTCCCACCGCACGGATGTGGCGGGGAGAAGAAACAGCACTGCCCCGGGATCACTTGTAACATCAGCGGAGGTCTTTATTGTTCCAGAGGGCCCTAGAGCATCCTTGGCTACCATCTCAGGAGGTAACAACGAGAACGTGCAGTTGTTACACAGTAACATGGCGTGGGCCCTCACAGAAGACACAGCAGCCTTCTGCCTGGGGTGATGTGTTGTCTTAGGGTTGCTATTGCTGTGAAGACACACCGTGGCCGAGAAGCAAGCTGGGGAGGAAAGAAAGGCTTTATTTGACTTACTCTTCTACATCACTGTTCATCATTGGAAGAGGTCAGGACAGGAACTCAAACAGGGCAGGAACCTGGAGGCAGGAGCTGATGCAGAGGCCATGGAGGGTGCTGCTCACTGGCTTGTTCTCCATGGCTTGCTCAGCCTGCTCTCTTACAGAACCCAGGACCGGCAGCCCAGGGATGGCCCCACCCACCGTGGGCTGGGCCCGCCCCCCTTGATCACTGATTAAGAAAATGTCCTTACAGCTGGATCCCATGGAGGCGGCTCCTCAGCTGAGGCTCCTTCCTCTGGTGCCTCTGGCTTGTGTCAAGCTGACGCACAGTCAGCACAGGTGTCCTCAGCAGATGACGAAGGAAGGACTGTGATGTGAAACTGTTGGGCCGTGGCTCCAGCTGAGGTCAGCTTCACCCTGGGAGCCTCTCGGTAGCTTGCCACTGTTCGGAAGGCCAGATTCCCAGCTGGAAATGTCTACAAAGAACACTAGTGACAGCAGGTCAAAGCTGAGAGGAAGAGGGGTGTGTCTCACCTGCCCGTTCAGTTCTTAATTTCGGACACTGGAAGGGTTTTCTTTTCTTTTTTTTAATATTTTATTTATTTATTATGTATACATGCCAGCAGAGGGCATCAGAGCTCATTCAAGGTGCTTATGAGCCACCATGTGGTTACTGGGGGAATTGAACTCAGGACCTTTGGAAGAACAGTCAGTGCTCATAACCGCTGAGCCATCTCTCCAGTCCCTGGAAGGGTTTTCTTAAGGTGACCGAGTATCCCGGTGGGAGCAGCAGTGACTTCAGACGCTGGCTGAGGCTCAGCTCAGTTCCCGGAGTCTCGCAGGCTCTGAAATTCCTAGAGGCGTGTGTCAAGGACGGCAGAGCCCCACAGAGGCAGCGTGACCTCCACTTGCTGGGGTTGAGTCATCGTGTCCCTTTGTGGGTGGTCCCTGGCTGCTGGCTCTCCCCCACCACCCGCCTTTCCCAGGGGTGGGTGCCGCAGCAGGTCGGCCGGGATCAGCCTGCCACCACTGTCCTAGGGCCTGGGGGCTAAGAAAAGGTCTTCAGAATGCTATTTCATGAGAAGTAAGAACTGCATGAAGGGGGCTGGAGAGATGGCTCAGAGGTTAAGAGCATTGACTGCTCTTCCAGAGGTCCTGAGTTCAATTCCCAGAACCCACATGGTGGCTCACAACCATCTGTAATGAGATCTGGCGCCCTCTTCTGGCCTGTGGACCTACATGCAGACAGAACACTGTATGCATAATAAATAAATAACTCTAAAGAAAAAAAAGAACTGCATGAACTGTCCACTGGTGCCCATTAACAATGTATTATCATCTTCTGTCCAATCATCCATGCTGGCGGCCTGTCTCATGGCAGCGCTCGAGGCCCTCTGTCTCATCCCTTCTTCCTCCCAGGCTGGCCCAGCACCGCTCTCCTCACGGGGAGTCTCCTCTCACTCCCTGTGCTGTCATGCATCCCCTCAGGCCCGTCCCCCTGTGGAACTGTTTTCACGAGGACTCACCTCGCCTCCTTTGTCTTCCCGATTATCCTGGACTCTGCCCGTTCCAGCCCCTGGTGGGCAGCTGGACCATCAGACTGACCGTCCTGGGATCCAGCACCCACTAAGGGCCTGGCGCGTCACCATAGCTACTGAATGTCAACTGCCGGAACAACAGCTCACAGCACTGCACGAAGGCAGCCCAGAGGGCCGCGTCAGGCCTCACACCCAGTCTTCACACTTTCTCCCTGTAGGTAAGAACGGGGTTGGGCCCGCAGAGGGAAGAGTTACCACCATGATGCTGCAGGAGGACTGGAGCAGGCCCAGCCCAGGTTTGAGAGACAGGCTGCAGGAGTAGATCTGAGAGCCCAGCTTTCCAGACGTCCCACATCTGGAGCAATATCCCGAGAGAACACAGAGACAGTGGTCACAGGAAGATCTGAAGTATCTGGAGAGACCCTCCTTCACGTCTCAGAAGCCAGAGGAAGGGTTCGCAAGGAAGTTGCCACCCTCTTAGGGCAGACCTCCCACTACGGAGGATGCTGCAGAGAACCTAGGTCAAGATTTATGGTTTCATCATTTAGCTCCTGTGTCCTTTTGGCCCTCAGCTGTCTCTGTGTATGCAGTTTCTGGCGCAGTAAGCATTCTGGGGAGAATGCCCCTAGTGATGGGACCGGATGGTCTGAGAACTCCGGGGAGTTAGAAAGGACAGTTGGTTATGGGAACATCAGTGTCCCAGCCCCCGGCTGGAAGGTCCTAGGCTTGACAACACCAGCAGCCCTTCTAGGCTGAAACTCAGAGCTCCACCCACAGTAGTGAAGAGGGGCCCAGGCCACAGGTCGTGTCCAGGAGGGTCCTAGCTTGTCTAGTTCATCTTCCCAGGCTGAGGGTTCTGGGCAAGCAGCTGTATCTTCTGAAGACTGAGTCAGAGAGGGTTCAGAAATCGACAGAGAGCCAGGCTGGAGAGAGTAGGGGACTTGAGGGTACCGTTTCCCCCAAGACCCTGCATTTGAAGTCTCCTCCCAGTCACTGCCTACCACCCACACCACATCAGGCCCTGGGGGGGGGCACTTATCTAAACCATCGTCAAAAAGGGGTGACAGCCCTCCCACTGTCTCCTGATCGCTGCCAATCCTAGCTGCCGGACCTGTGTGTAACTTGAGTGCTGACGACGTCTGTTGATGCAGTGTGAATAGTCTTGGGGGTTAGGGTTAACATGGCGAGGTCCTGAATACTAGAGGGCTTGTAGGCATGGGACAGTCAGAGAACGGGAAGGACTGTGATGGGATCCGAGAAGACAGGGCCACCGTGAGCACGTCTGGCTCTCAGGGCGAGCAGCCCGCCGGAGGTCTCAAGTGCGCAGGCGCACTGGCGCGGGGGGCGTGGCCGCGTGGCGGGCTTTGGTGCGGGCGGACGCCACTCCGGCGGAGGCAAGGCTTTCTTGCTTGCTCGCGCCGGCGAGACCGTCCTGCGGTTGAGGGTGAGTTCGGCCGCGTGGAGGCAGAGCTGAGGGCGAAGGACGCGAGGCGAGAAAAGCGGGCACGAGCGGAGACGAGGAGGCTGCCCCGGGAGAGCCGGGGGGCGGGGCCAGCGGAGCGCGCGGAGCGGCCGGAAGTGTGGGTGGGTGGGGACAACGCGTGATTGACTGGCTAAGAACCAATGCGGGGGGCGGCCCGCGTGTGGCGGCGTCTTCGGTTGACTGTGAGTAGCGCCTTGAGGTCTCCAATTCGGGGAAGCTGTGTTAAGCGAGTGCTTTATCTGGTGAACGTCAGGCGAGCATCTCTGCTAGGCGTGAAGACACAGGTTTATGGATAACGATTAACCTGAGATCAGGCTTGCCCGGCCCTTGCTGTTACGAGCTCTGCTGTACTGCCGGTTTTTTATTTTAGGATTCCGGAAGGAAGATCCGATGCTTATCCCTCTACCACATTGCTAATGGGAGTGGCATAAAAGTGGGGGTAAATAATAAACACATGGATCCTGGGTTGTCTTGAAATCCAGGCTAGCGCCGGGCGTTGGTGGTGCACTCCTTTAATCTCAGCGCTCGGGAGGAAGAGGCGGGAGGATCTCTGTGAGTTCGAGGCCAGCCTGGTCTACAAGTTCCAGGATAGCCTCCAAAACTATACAGAGAAACCATGTCTCGGAAAAGAAAAAGAAATCCAGGCAGGCTTGCAGTTGTCACATGCAGGGAGTCTGTCTGCCAGCAGCCCCTGTGCCTGGGGTCCCAGAGGGCGACACTCTTCACCTCGTGTGCATCATCCCAGGGAGTCTCCTGTTCAGAACTGCAGGGTCTCGTGTACCTGAATGAGCTTCGCCGAAGCAGAGCCCTCAACAGAGCTGGGTTAAATCCGTGATTTTCTTCTTGGAGTAACTAAAGTTTCCCCTCCTGAACTCCCCCAATGTCTTTCTGTTGGAGATGAAGCTCAGGGCTGTTTCTAGGCAAGGGCTGTTCCAGTGAGCTGTGTCCCCAGCCTGCAGTTATTGAATCTCTGTGACGTCAGCGTCCAGTAGCCAACTTCAGTTATTATGTTGGTGATAGGTTAATTGAGATAATAAAACTTAAGTGGGGTGGGGGGCTGCAGAGTGTTTTACACATGGGAAATGCTCAGAATTTGTTACTTACATTTTTAAGTACTTTATCATTTTATGTGTATGGGTATTTTGCCTGCATGTATGTCTGGATCCCTGGAACTGGAGTTTCAGACAGGTGTGAGCCTCCATGTGGGTGCTGGGAATTGAACCTGGGTCCTCTGAAGAGCAGCCAGTGCTCTTAACCGCTCTCCAGCCTGTTGGTTACTTTTCTTCTCCTTGCCTTCATGTTTTAATGAAGTTTTTTCAGTTACGTGGCTCTTTTTATTATTGGATTATCTTAGTTTGTTATTTGGGTTTTAGTTTTAGTTGTTTTGTTTTGGTAATTTCTCCACCTGGGTTGTCCCTAACTATATGCCTGGAAGAACCCACTGGCAACTGCTTTTCCCCGTAAATGGACTGACACCATCGCTGTCCAAAGTTTTCACTGTATTGATGATAAACTGGGTCTTAGGGTTATTAATATTTGGACTCAGAAGAGATGCACCTGTCCAGTTGACTCTCAAGAAGAAGGGTTTGGACGAGTGCGGCCTCCAGATGGCAGAGAGAGGGCAGAGGAGAGCCCCAGAAAGCTCTTAGGGTTTGGGGCCAGAAAGGGATGACCAGTAGATGGCGCTGCTTGTGTTGCGGTAGAGGTTAGGGAAAGCAGATGGGCTGATGCAGGAGACTGCCTGCCATGTCCCGTAGGTCTTCATCGCAGGAACAGGTGAGGCAGCGGGGCGTGGCGATTACAGAGGCCTTGGAGAAGGCTGCTGGGGAGGGAGTCACAGCCGTGACCCAAAGGCCCCTCGCCCTTTTCAGAAGCGCTCTGCTTCGCGGAGGTACCGGAAGGACATCTGCAACAGCGCGAGAGGCTCATCTCAGGGCCTTCCTGAGCTGGACTCTGCAATAACAATATCTGATATTGTTATTGGATATGCCAGGGTTGTATGTATACATGGACAGAATGTGGCCTCTGCTTGCTGGAAAATACACAACCGAGAGGGAGATTCTGTGACAAGTGGGAAAACTGTGTAGGTTTCAAGACCTACACACCTTTCTCATGGGTCATGAGAAAGGTGACAGACTTCTCTCCTTTTTTTCTTTTTAATCTAGGGCAATGGCTGATGAAGGCCAGGAGGTTGGTGACATCCACTTCCCGTTCCCCTTCCCACCCTATGCTATCCAGAAGGACTTCATGGCAGAGCTCTACAGGGTTTTGGAGGCTGGCAAGATTGGGATATTTGAGAGTCCAACTGGCACGGTGAGCGTGTGAGGGATGAGGGAGTGTCACTAAGACAAGCTGGAGGTAGCCTTACCCACCTTGACAGCTCCCCTGTGCAGACACCGCCTTCCTTGAGAAGAAACGGGGGAGGGGGGGACACCCACAGGAGCTGTGAGCCTAATCTTTCGGCACAGCCGTCGCTCCGCTCCCTCTGTTAAACTACTACGCACAGCACCACCGTCTGAGAAAGACCAGGCTGGAGGTGGCGGGGACTTTAAGATTGCAGTGCAGACCATAACACGGGCGGGCGTGTCTGAGGCGCCTTCTGGCACGCTGCCGCCTCGGTGTTGATGGACAGAGACACAGTGGCGGCCACTCTCCCCCAGGCCTAGCACACTGAGCTAGAGTGTGGAATGCAGGCTACCGCGTGTTGTCAGGAGCCAGGCAAGGGGACCCTATGTTTTCCTTGCTGGCCCAGACTGAGGGAGGATGTATTTGATGTGGGTTGTGGCTAGTGACCCCCAGCTTGCTCCCAGCATCCTGGTGTATGAGCTTGCGTAGTGAGGACTGTGTGATAGTGCGCTGTGAATTTTGGTGTGAAGATGCTCAAATTCTAGGCTTCAGCCTTACATACACAAACAAGAACTGTGGTCCCTGTTAACTGCGTGCCTGGCGTCTATGGGGCTTGGCAAGGCTGGCCTACGGGAGGCCCTTCGTATGAATTTTCTGAATGAGCAAATAAAAGGCAGTGAATTCTCCCTGTCCTTATGTGTGCAGAAGGGCAGCTCCAGAATCGACACTCAGGACTCTGGGGCAGAAAATGTGTCTACGGGGGTACTCTGTTGTTCTTTTCGTTCCAGTGGCTCTCAGCTTGTAGGGCGCGATCCCCTTGGAGAGTAAAAAAATGTGACCCTTTTGTAGGAGTTGCAAATCAGCTGTCTCCCATAGCGGATATTTACATTGTGATTCATAACAGTAGCAAAACTACAGTACGAAGTAGCAACACAAACGATTTTATGATTTCCACCCTCACCACACACGAGGAGCTGTGTTAAAGGGTCACAGTGTTAGGAAGGTTGAGAACCACTGCTCTATATGGTGAGTGGGAGTGTTTTCTGGGTACCTTGTGAAGATTGTTCCATGACTTAGGTGAGCATTTGAGCTGCTGCCCCTCCTCCTCTTCCTCCTCCTCTGTGTAATAACTCTGTCCTGGAACTCACTTTAAACTGTCTGGCCTTAAACTCAGAGATCGGCCTGCCTCTGCCTCCCAAATGCTGGCATTAAAGGCGAGCATTTGGGAGGCAGGTGTTTGTGTTCGCGAGCACGCGGTTACTTTTAGAAGATGATTTTGGGCATGCCCTTAGGAAGTGCTGCTCCCTTTTAGGTGAAGCCTGTGTAGGGGCTCTGTTCCTGGGCCGTTGTCGCACACTGGTGTCTTACCTGTCTTGTCCAACAACATCTAAAGACCGTGTTTCTTTCCACCCTCAGTATGACCACTTCCCCCAGGCTCCTCTGGAGGAGTGCTGCCTGGATTTCTTTGCGTGGATTTCACTCCGTTTAATGTTTTCTGGACGCTGACCCAGTATAATGGAGTGTTCCTTAAGCTGTGTGATCTGTCTTTTCCTCAGAAGGGGAACCCTACCAAGAACCATTCAAAACCTTAATGAAAGCCGACAGATTCCACGTCTCGGGAAAGTGATATACCATCATTACTTAACATTAGCAAGCACCCAATTTCTTACTTTACCACCAGGTATTTTTGGCTCCTGCTTTCTGTGTATTAACTAACCTGGCTCTGTGGGCTCCATGAGTGGGTCTTACTCTTTATCTGTCCCATTTTTGTGTATATATGGAAATGAGCTCTGAGAGTCAGCTCAGAGTCCTGGAGCTAGTGAGATGCTCACTGTCTAATCCAGGATTACAGGAGAGAATTCTGAGTCTTATGGTGCCTCCCAGGGCAGGTAGGTTTAGAACCCTGGTCTGGACTCTCAGCCGCCCTGGATTATGTAGGCAGAAGCCCAGCTCTAAAGATCAACCTGAACCCAGATGGATTCTAGGAGCAGCAGCCTGGGGGATACCACAGTTTCCTCTCTAGAACTCTGTCCCTTTCCTGGGACTTCATAGTATAGAGTGCACCACAGACCGGGTGCACAGCAGAAACTCAGTATCTTACCGTGCTGGAGTTTCAAAGTCTGGAGTGAGCATGTTAGCAGGTTTGGTTCATCCTGAGGGCCATATGGGAAGGGTGTTCAGGCCCACTCGTTGGCTTGTAGATGCTACTTTCTTCCTGTGTTCCTCCATGGTGCCTGTCTTCTTCTGTGTGTGTCTCCATTCTAAGTGTCCCTTTTTCATAAGGTTCCCTGTCCTTGTAAGAATTAGGACCCACCTAAGAGCCTCGTGTTAACTGGACCTACCCCGATTCTCTTTCCAGGTAAATTCATATCCTAAGACACTGGTGTTAGGAGCTCAGCATAGGGGATGCATGTCAACCTTCGAAAGGGACCATGGAAAGCTGTGACCTTAGTCAAGAATAGTGTTTTGGAGAGTAGGAACTGGTGTGACCAATTATGTTGTGTCTGGACTTCAGTTGCCTTAAGGCTTAGAGTCACATGTGGCCTTGGCAAGAATTTGGGTTTTCATGTTTTGTCTTTCTTGGCTATTAATGTTTTTTCCAGCACTATTCAGTCATATTAACTTGCAGTATTTGTAAGTTGAGAAGACACTTGAATTCTTTAGGAACGTGGAGCTTTTTACTGCCTCTTGGGCCAGGTTTTACTCCCCTTTCCCATGACTATGGACTGTTACTGACTCCTTCCCTTTCTGGGTGGCCTTAGAGCGCCCTCATGCTCAGAACTGCAGCCGTCGTTACTGCTCGGGGAGAGCCTCTGTCTCCTCATGCTCGCCACTGCAGCTTCTGGCCTTGTCACTCCTCTTGGTCACTCTTCTTCCCGCAGGGCAAGTCCTTAAGTCTCATTTGTGGGGCTCTCTCGTGGCTCCGCGACTTTGAGCAGAAGCGATTGCAAGCAGAGGCGCGTCTCCTTGCACCTGGGTCTGGCCCCACGTGTGGTGGGGAGAACTCGCTCCCATCTTCGTCACCTTGCCAAGAGCCCTCTGTCACCCCGAGGCCTGCTGGGGAGCCCGACTGGGTCACGGAGTTTGTTCAGAAGAAAGAAGAAAGGGACCTGATGGAGAGGCTGAAGGTGAGAGCGGTCTCAGGGCCGAGAAAGGGAAACAAGCCTCACTGACTATTTTCAGTTCACTACAACGTGGAGGGATTCCACATTCTTTGTGTTGGTGATGCCTGCCAACCCTTCTGTGAACTTGTGTGGATATCATTGCCTCTTCCTGGTGCGAGCAGGCCTTTTCTGCTTACGGTTCACCCAGTTCCGTTTTTCTCTCACCCGGCGAGGCACTCAGTTGAAGGATGACTTTTGTGTGCCCTGGAGAGAGAGAGGGTGTAGCAACGCTTTTGCACTGAGCAGCCAGGCCAGACTGGCAGGGATGGAGGCGGGGTGTGTGGCGAGACCCACTGCGGAGGACGGCCTGGGCTGGCCCTGCCCGGGGGTCTCTGCTGTCCTTGTGCTTAGGAGGAGCAGGTGAAGAGGAGGAAGCGGGAAGAGCGTCTGCAGCGAGTCTGTCAGGACGGGAGGCTCAGGTTTGCAGCGAAGCGCACGGTGAGCATCTGGAGGGCGGGCTGTGGATTGCGAGGAGCTGGGCCAGAGTGGCAGAGTCCACCCCCTGCTCCGTCGGCCGCCCTTCCTTAGCTGGGGCTCTTAAGTGGTGGAGAACCTGAGTCTGGACGCGGAGTCCTTGAGTCAGGTGGGGAGGCTCACGTTCCCAGATGAATGTGGGTGCCCCGTCCTTGGTGACAGCAATGCCAGGGGCCAGCTCTGTCGGGGAGTCAGCTCGGGGCGCATTGCTAAGGCTTCTTGTCGGATCTTTGTTCCTGTCCAGAAACAGGAAGAAGAGGAGACGGAGACTCTCCTGCGCCTCAGCAAGGAGATGCTGGCTGAAGGGACGGGGCCAGAACAGCTGGAGCAGCTGGAGTGTGGGGAGGAGGCGCTGCTTCTGGCGGAGTACGAGAGTGATGAGGAGAGAAGAGCCAGCCGGTGAGGCCACTGCTCCACATGAGTCCACAGCCCTGCTGGGGCCGCCGCCCTCAGGCCAGAGATACGCATCAGCACCAGTGAAAGGGCCTGGTAGCCACCTGCTCGGTTACTAGATGCCAGTGACAACCATGGCTGGCCTTTACTCTGTGCTGGAGGGAGCACTGGGGATGGACATAGTCCACCTGGCTCTCAATCCCACAGTCCCCACCACTAACCCTAAGCACGTGTGGAGTGCGTGGTCCTAACTGTCAGGGAGGAGTCCCTGGAGCTTAAGGTCCGGACGAGCTGGTTTCTGTTCTCGTGGGTGAACCAGGAAACCTCAGTCGGAGAGACTTGGTCACTCCTGCGTTTCACAGCGCCTTTCCAGGTCCTCTTTTCTCATTCCTACCTTAATTCTAGTGGGAGAAGTCCTGGTCCAGAGCCTCAGCCTGGAGGTACACCCCAGACAGGCACAGTAACCTAGGTGGACGTGGTGTGGCCGTTAGGGGGACAGAACAGGCTTCTGTTCTGTCAGGATTAATCTGCGGGAACTTGGATTATTTCGTTGAGAGAGGCTGGGTGTAGCACTGTCCATGAACAGCATTTCAGGGCTGGGAGCTGGGGCTAAATAGACCCTCAGTTTGCAACCGCGGTGTCTTATTCTTGGGGCTTGCCCGTAAGCGCTGTTGACATCTGAGTGAGGCCCCCTCCTGCTGGCCAGTGAGCACCTTCCAGTGCTTTTAGGTATGGAGCTGTCCCGAGCGTGCTGTGGGAAAACTCATCTCCCCGCTTGTCTCTCTCAGGGTGGGTGACGATGAGGATGACTTGGAGGAAGAACACGTAACCAAGGTGAGCTAAGCTGCCCGCTCCTCGGATGCCTCTGGAGGGGAAGCAGACTCTAGGTCCAGGCTCCGCTCCCGCCTCGGGCTTCCCGCCTCAGGCTCCGCTCCCCGCCTCACCGGTGTGCTTCTCAAGCATCGCCTCTCGTTGACCCCTTGACCAGCTGAGCTCTGAGGGGAGGCCTTGGAAGGAGCAGCCCTCCTGGGCCAAGGCTCGAGGGGTTTCCCTCGCAGTGAGCAGTGGTGAGGGCGAGGGAGGAGCAAGCCAGTGTGCCCTCCTTATTCTTGGACTCCCACGGTGTGTTTCTCTTCCTGCTAGTATTTCACACATGTGGGGTGTAGTGAGCTCTGTGGGGCGTGACACGCCTCCATTTTAAAAGGATGTGGTCTCATCTAAGATGGATCTTTTCTGTTGGTAGTTGGCGTCCTTCTCTGCTCTTCTGTCTCCTCAGCTGAATCCTAGAGTAGCAGGAGTGTGCACCTCAGGTCCTGCCTTTCCCTTCAGGGCACACATGGGGAGTAACCTTCCGTGGTGTTCGCCCGAGGGCTGAGGGTCACCGCTGGGTCCAGAGTCAGTGCTGAGGGGAAACCCACCCTCCTAGGGTCCCCAGCTCCTGTAGTGTGGCGGAGTTGGGAGAGCTGAGTCCTGGGGATTACTTGAACTTCTAGAGCACTACCAAGCCCTCCTCAGGCATTACCTGACCTGAGCTGACGCGCTGTCCCCTCAGAAGTGTGCGCTTGCGACCACCCTCCGCCCTCCTGCAGGCCCTCAGGCCACTGTGAACGAGTAAGATTCCCCGCTCTGACTCCCCGTGCTTTCCTCTGGTCAGATTTATTATTGCAGTCGGACACACTCGCAGCTTGCCCAGTTTGTACATGAAGTACGGAAGAGCCCTTTTGGCAAGGAAACCCGGCTAGTCTCTCTTGGCTCTCGGCAGGTAAGCAAAGCAGGGAGGGCGGGGTCAGCCCAGCCAGAGTCCTTCTGTGTCTCGTCTCGTGGTCCGGGCATAGAAAACTGGTGAAGGCCAGGTGGCGTTGGGAGCGCTGTCCTTTGCTGGCCTGCCTCCCTGTTCTTTAGGGGGTGCAGGCGAAGCAGCCGGGTAGTGGGCCCTTCGGTACCTCTTAGCCAGCATCATTTCTATTCTCTATCTGTAAAAGACACCGATCAGTGTTCGGAATCAAAGATGCTGAGCTGAACTAAGGCATGCTGAGGGGGGGAGAGAGAAAATGGTCTCCCCCAGGGAAGAGCACAGCATAGGCTATCCCAGACCAAATGGTGGGTGTGAAAACAGTCACAACCTGAGCAGGCTCTGCTTAGGGATATATATGCATATGCATATACATATATGGGTATAGTATCAGTTCATGGAAGAAGAGGCCATGGATTTGAAGGAAATCAAGGAGCATTTGCAGGGAGGGGAGAGGAAAAATAATATAATTATAATGTCAAAAAGCAGAAATTAGCCGGGCATTGGTGGCACATGCCTTTAATCCCAGCACTCAGGAGGCCGAGACAGGTGGAACTCTGAGTTTGAGGCCGGCCTGGTCTACAGAATGAATTCCAGGACAGCCAGAGCTACACAATGAAATCCTGTTTTGAAAAACCAAAACCAAAACCCAACCAACCAAACAATCCCCCACTTCCAAAAAAAAAAAAAAAAAAAAAAAACCAAACCAAAAAACCAAACCAAAAACCAGAAAAACCTCTCATACCCCTCATACCCAAATGGGGCCAGGGCTGGAGAGATGACTTGGTGGATAAGAGCCCTTGTTGCTCTTCCAGAGGATCCAGGTTCAGTTTCCAGCAGCTCTATGGGAACTTACAGCCATTTGTATTTCTAGTTCCATGGGATCGAATGCTGTGTCCTGGCCTCTTTGGGGACCAGACACACATGGTGCACAGACATATGTGCAGACAAAACACCCACACACATTGTCGCACCTGCTGAGCAGCCTGCATCCGAGAATGTAGCGAGGTGGTCGGGATAGATGACAGAGACCGGTCAGTTGCTTTAAGAAAACTTTATGCTCCCCAAGTCGGCTTAGGAGAACTCCCCAAGAAAAAACGCTTCCCTTTTTTAAAGACTTCTGCCATCCATCTACATACAATTCTCCAACTGAGCTTTCACACACCTTTCACAGCTCTCACAGACTTCTCACCCTCCTGGCTGGTGGTTAAATCTCCAGCACCAGAATCTGGGAGAAACAGCAGGGAGCAGGAAGAAGCATCTAGCCGTAGGGGGATCAAAGTCATGGTGTTTCAGTGAGTGAGCCCTTATCGGAGCTTTATGGCACTGAATTGTTTTCAGTCAACATTATCTCGCAGCTGCCTGCTCCCAGGCTGATGGAGGGGTGGGCTTCCGGCCAGGGTCTGTGATCCCCCCACACATAAACCAAGAGTGAGTCAGTCAGCACTGTCCGGTACAAAGCACATCGTGGTGCACGTTTGCAGACAGCAACTCCAACCTTGGAAAAGGTGGTGAGTGTCGCGTGCACAAATACGCTCCTTTCACTCAGGAAGGCGGAAGCGCGATTTCGTGGTCACATTTATATTAACGGCCCGTTCAGTAAGCCAGGGAAAGCGGGTCAGGATGGGACAATGTCTAGGACTGACCAGGGATGAGCTTGGTGACCGAGGCTTTGCCAGCGTGCGTGGCGGTCATCGCTTTCTGTCTTCTCTCGTGTCTTATAGAATCTCTGTGTGAACGAAGATGTGAAAAACCTGGGTTCAGTGCAACTTATGAATGAGCGCTGTGTGGACATGCAGAGAAGCAAGCATGGTACGCATGCACACATGCACGCATGCATGGGAGCGCGCATGGGAGTGCGAGCTGTGCTGCGTAGCGGAAGTGGCAGACACGAACGTGGCGGGGTTGCCGCAGGGCTGTGTTACCCAGAAGCAACAGCGAGGAGGCCCTGGGTCCTTCCTCAGACCCCCTCCTTGGGCAAGAGCGCTCACGCTTCCTGGGTCAGGGTCAGGGTCAGGGTGTTTGTGCTGCCTCTTTAACGGAGAGCACAAAGTAAAATCCCAGTGTGTTCTGATGAGTCCGTGGCCAGCAGCAAGCACCAAGGGAGCGTGTTGGAACGTCACGGTACTGCCTGAGCTTCCTGCCCCTGCTTTCCTCCAACTGTCCCACCACAGAGAAGAACGGAGCTGAGGAAGACAGGCCAAAGAAAAGGAGACGGAAAGTCCAGACCTCTTGCCCCTTCCACAACCATGAGCAGATGCAGCTTCTCCGGGACGAGATTCTGCTGGAGGTGAAGGACGTGGAGCAGCTGGTGGCCCTTGGGAAGGAGGCACGGGCCTGCCCCTATTATGGGAGTCGCTTCGCCATCCCTGCAGCCCAGGCGAGTGTGCTGGGGAAACGGAAGAGGTTCTCGCACTAACTGGGGCTTACAAAACAAGGCTCTCATTCCTCTTCAGTAGGTGGGGACTCACTACATGGTCAGGCTGACCCAGCACCGCACAGTCCTAGCGCAGAGTTCCAGGAGACCAGGGGTCCTTGTAGCTATGGACTAGAGGCCAGCTGGTGTGTTTGAGCATTCGGCAGATGAGGAGGCCAGAACGTGAACGCGAGGGAAGGCTTCTCATGACTGCTGACACACCCGCCTGGCTGCACGTGTGATACTGGCCCGGTTAGACCTGCCTTACCCGTGTACAGAGAGGAAAAGCTGGTTTTTGTCTGACAGCCCCTTGCCGTTCACTGTGGGTGATTTCACGCTACCTTCCGCCCTCCCCGAAAGGTGTCACTCATGGGGAGCTCTGTGTCCTCTGGGAGACTTAACTGGATTTCAGAAGAGCACTTCTCAGTAATCACATTGCGCAGCGCAGTGCTCAGGCGTGGATGTCCCTGCTCTGTGCGGTGCTCACACCCAGTGCAGTGCTCACACCCAGTGCAGTCAGTGCTCACACCCGGTGCAGCGCTCACACCCAGTGCAGTGCTCACACCCAGTGCAGTCAGTGCTCACACCCGGTGCAGTGCTCAGGCATGGACATCCCTGCTCTGTGTGTTGCTCATAGACAAACTAAGGGACTCTGTCTACAGATGTCTCATCGAGTTAGTGCTGCCACCATTTATGTAGAGGTATGAAGACCCGAAATAGCCCTATTCTCCCCATGAGAACACTAGGGCCCAGAAAGATGACTATCTTTTCTCTCACTGTCTTAAATGACGGTACCCTTATTGGCACCTGGGCCTTGATTTTCCAGTTTTCTGAGATTTCGTATTATTGTTATCTTTGTGTGTGTGTGTGTGTGTGTGTGTGTGTGCCGCGCGCGCGCCTTTGTGCAGAACAGAGAACAATTTTGGGTGTGGCAAAGCCAGTGGGTAACGAGCCTGTCCTTTCCTCCCTGCTGCTGGGATCTCGAGTGGACCACTGTGTCCCCCACCCTGCCTTTTCCCCCCGTACTTAGCCCTTGCTTTCAAGGAAGACACTGCATCAGTTGAACAGTGTCCCTCTCTTTCTTGTTGTCTTTTAATTGGAAGGTCTCCATAGCAGCACATACCTACAGATTTGATTTTACCCTCACCCCTCAGTTGACATAGTTTGGCAGATTCACTAAGTTGATGAAAAGCCTAGGGTCACCTAAGTTAGACTTTGCCGGTGCCACAGAGCTGGGAAGCAGCAGCCCTGGGACCACAGGCTGCCGTCCCTTCTGAGGGCTGTCTTGGGATCTCCGATGAGGTTCACCTGAAAGGCTGCCACCCCCTCCCCCTTCCCCAGATGCTCAGCCCCAGTTGTAGTTCCTCGCAGGTGACATCCCACATAAGACATCTGGAAGAGGCTCTGTCGGAACAGGCAGAGTAGTGAGCCGTGCTACCCTGGCTGACTACCCCACCCCCGTGCAAGGTTAAACGAGTTTACTGCAGGATGGGCCTGCTGCCAAGTGCAAGACAGGCTGCTTCACTGTCTGGCGATCCCCTTTCCCTGCAGCTAGTGGTGCTGCCTTACCCCATGCTACTGCATGCAGCCACCCGGCAGGCTGCAGGAGTCAGGCTGCAAGGCCAAGTGGTCATCATTGACGAGGCGCACAACCTGATCGACACCATCACCAGCATCTACAGCACAGAGGTCAATGGTTCCCAGGTGGGCGAGCCTCTCCCATCTGTGCAGAGCGGCATGGCTCATTCCTTCAAATGCCTAGGCCAGGGACTCCTCTGCATGTGGGGTTCGGTAGAGGGTGAGCTGAACTAAAAACCCTGCCTTTTCTTGTTCATTGGCAAGTGTGAGGCTCTTGGTACCGCTGGCCTGCATCCAGGATGCTGCTAACCAGGAGTCTCACAGGATTTTGTTTATTATTATCAGTACTGCTTTGGGGGTGCTTAATGGAGGGATGCCCAGGGTCTCTGCGGCTCTTATTTATTGTCGTCTGGTATGTGGCAAGCACAGAAAGGGGCTCTGTGTGCCTCACGCTTTTCTCTTGGGGTCCACTGCTTTAGTTTGGGAGCTTTGGGTTCATGAAGGGCGAAGCTGTGTATCATGTACCCACACTGCACAAGTTGAGGTGAGCCAGGACTTGATAAAGCCTATGTCATGTCTGCCCCCTGCTTGAATTTCCCTCTCAGATCCCCTGGGATATTTAGGGCCTTAGGCTTTGGCCTCTTCCCTTGCCATCTCAGCTGTCATCAGCCGTGGCCTCTACATGCTTTGCCCTTGTCTGTTTCTGTCCAGCTGCCCATCGCCGTTTCCTAGAATGGGCTAATGGCTGTCTACAGAGGGTCTCTCAACCGTGTCCTGGGATGCCTTCATGCCGTTGTGTTTTCTCCCCAGCTCTGCCAGGCCTATTCCCAGTTGCTGCAGTACATGGGAAGATACGGGTAAGACACTATGCCGAGGAAGATACGGGTAAGACACTATGCCGAGGAAGGCGGTCTAGCCATGCCCAGTCTCGGTGGCCTCCAGAACGCAAGTGGATGGTGCTGTTAGTGCCCAGGTCTTGGAGGAATAGGTTGAATTGGTCTGTCTTGGTGCATTCCCTCTGCAGCCTTGGCTCGTGGGGACAGAGCAGCAGGCTCCGAAAGCCTTTTATATCTGCTGAACGTTTTGTAGCTCACAGCCCAGTGTGTCGGGCCTGAGGCAGAAAGGCCCCATGGCATCCGGTGGAGGGCAGTTGCTGCAGAATCCTCTGGTAACTCTGCCTCTGTTGCTTCTTCCTCAGGAAGCGTTTGAAGGCCAAGAACCTCATGTACATCAAGCAGATCCTGTACCTGCTGGAGAAATTCGTGGCTGTTTTAGGAGGTAGGAGCGCCATCCTTGGCTCACCCTGCTCTGAAGGCTGTGTTGTTGGTCTTGTTCCTTGAGTGCCAGTCAGGACCCTTGGGGCTTAGCGCTGTCTGATTGTTGGTCTGGGCTGCTCTTTGCGGACTCACGTGAGGCGTTTGACCAGCTTTCTCACTGCTGCTCCTGCAGCCCAGTTTACTTCTCCATGCTCCTCTCCTTTTACTTTAAGGAGCCTGCCTGCAGGGCTACGTTAACATGCTGTGTGCATAGCCACAGCTACGAGGTAGCCCAGTGTGGCCAGAGGGCGGGACCTGCCTGTGGCCGGGGAGACTGGAGGCTGCTGACTCCGGTAGGCGTCCAGGGTTCTCAGGATGTTCAGGCCTGGGACTGTTTGATTATACGGCAACACATTTAAAGGCTTCTATAGAGGTTTCCAGAAAGCCAGGGCAGCCTTTCCTAGAGAGACTGCCCAGGTTAGTACTCTCTGCCTCCTTGTCTGCCGTGTCGCAGCTCCCTGTCCTCTGGAAGATTCTGTTGTTTCCCTTGCCCTGCCCACAGTGACAGTGGGGAGGGAGGCTGCTCTGCCCCTGCCCCTGCCTGTCCTTGGGTTCCTTTGAAGTGTGTGAGTCAGATCTGCAAGGCTCCTGGCAGCTCCTGTCTTCTTAGAGTGTTGTTTGTCTGCCGTGGTGTGCCAGCGCTGGCTGACACAGGCAGTCCTGCTTGCTTCAAGCACGTGTCTCTGGAAGCGTGCATGGTCAGAAGTGGGCAGAGAACTGCCCCGTGACGGACGGGAATTCCCTTCTTTAGGTGACGTCAAGCAGAATCCTCGCACTCAGAGCCTGCCTCACACAGGTGAGGAGGGCGGGAGGGGACATGAACCACTCAGAGCAGGGACTTGGCAAGCTACAAAACCAGGCTCCTTTCTGTTCACAGGGTCTGAGCTGAAGAGCATCAACGACTTTCTCTTTCAGAGCCAGGTGGACAACATCAATCTGTTCAAGGTAATCATCTATTCTGGTTTCCTTATGGCTAGAAAGGAGAGGTAGGGGTGGGGTGCAGCTGTGGGAGAGGTGGGGTGGGGTGCGGCTGTCAGAGAGGTGGGGGTGGGGCGCGGCTGTGGGAGAGGTGGGGTGGGGTGCGGCTGTCAGAGAGGTAGGGGTGGGGTGCGGCTGTCAGAGAGGTAGGGGTGGGGCGCAGCTGTGGGAGAGGTGGGGTGGGGTGCGGCTGTCAGAGAGGTGGGGGTGGGGCGCGGCTGTGGGAGAGGTAGGGGTGGGGCGCAGCTGTGGGAGAGGTAGGGGTGGGGCGCAGCTGTGGGAGAGGTGGGGTGGGGTGCGGCTGTCAGAGAGGTAGGGGTGGGGCGCGGCTGTGGGAGAGGTGGGGTGGGGTGCGGCTGTCAGAGAGGTGGGGGTGGGGCGCGGCTGTGGGAGAGGTGGGGTGGGGTGCGGCTGTGGGAGAGGTAGGGGTGGGGTGCGGCTGTGGGAGAGGTAGGGGTGCGGCTGTGGGAGAGGTAGGGGTGCGGCTGAGGGAGAGGTAGGGGTGGGGTGTGGCTGTGGGAGAGGTAGGGGTGCGGCTGTCAGACAGGTGGGGTGGGGTGGGGTGCAGCTGTTGAGCACTTCCCTGTTATGAGTAAGGCTTTGTGTTCTGCCTCTTGCACATAATCAAAATGAACATAGAGGAAATCAGATGCAAATCGTTGTCCTTGAATAGTCTTTGGCACTTTTCTCCCCTTTGTGTTAAACTATTTTTATTCATTTATTTGTGTGTACCATTTGTCTGTGTGAGGGAGTCAGATCACCTGGAACTGGAGTTTCAGACAGTTGGGAGCTGCCATGTGGTTGCTGGGAATTGAACCCAGGTCCTCTGGAAGAGCAGCCAGTGCTCTTAGCCACCAAGCCATCTCTCCAGCCCTGTGTTTAACTCTAAATAATTGACTTGCCCCTTGTTCTTGAGTGAGTGCAGCTTCGAGTCCCACAGCTGTGACCCTTGTGTGAGACTTCTTTCTCCAGCTTGCTTCAGACCCCTCCCTTCACCAGTTTTAGCCGGATGCCAGGCTTTGTAGTGATTTTCCTCATTCCCACCGAACCTCATGCTCTCAGATTGTGAGCTGAGCCGAGCCCAGGCATCACCACCTACCTACTGAATATAGCAGGGAGACTACACCCTGGCCTTCCTTGGGACAGTGTGTGTGTGTGTGTGTGCCACAGTGTGTGTGTGTGTGTGTGTGTGTGTGTGTGTGTGTGTGTGTCTTGTCTTTGCATCCCATTTCTCAATAAGAGCACTGAGATATAGTTGCTCACTTTACTGTCTCTGGCTCTTATGTGTTCTCTGAGTATTCCAACTCAGGTTTTCATGGGTGTGTTGCAAGCCTGTGAGCCGTCTTCTCAGTTCTTGGGGTTGTTTTTGAAATGCCTCTTTCTTCTTCAAGGCCCACTCTGCACGTGGGCACTCAGAAGGAAGCAGATTGCCATGCAGTTATTGTCTTCTTTTTGAAGTTGGTTTTGTTTGTATGGGCGTTTTCCTGCACGTCTGTCTGTACCATGTGTGTGCCTGGTGCCCCAGGAGGCCAGGAGAGGGCATCAGATCGCCAGAACTGGAGTTATGGATGGTGTGAGCCATCTGTAGGTTCCAGGTCTTCTGGAAGAGCAGCCAGTGCTCTTACTGGCTGAGCCAACCTTCCCACCCGTCAGAACCTGTGTTGAACACCGTTAGGGCAATGAGAGTAGTGGGGATGGATGTCTCTGAGGAGGCCACAGTAAGAGGAACCCTGAGTTCTTATGGGCCCCAGAAAGCAGACAGTAAGGCTTCTTGCGAGGCTTTGGGCTCTTCCGAGGGGCCAGTGGTATGGGGTGGCCATCTCTTTAGAGTTCAGAGCACAGTTTGCTTCCTTCTCACGTGGGTCTGTGCTGGTTTTGCAGGTGCAGCGGTACCTGGAGAAGAGCATGATCAGCAGGAAGGTACCGTTCCCGTTGTCCTGGCCAGGAGCCCGAGTACCCCTGCCTGCCTGCCTTACTCTGCTGCCCTGGGGACTCGAGGCTTCTCATTTCCCCCCGTCCATAGTGTGAAGTGATTTCTGGCTTGGTGTCTCAGTCAGGGTGTCTTCTCATTCTGTGTGTCTGTCTACTCTCCCGCACACAGCTCTTTGGCTTCACAGAGCGCTTTGGAGTTGTCCTTCCATCCCCCTCAGCCTCCCAGGAGAACCGAAATCTGGACGGCTTCCAGCACTTCCTGAAGAGCCTGCAGTCTGGGCCTGCTGATGGTGAGTTAGCAGGGTGAGCGAGGAGCCGGGCACAGGCCCTTGAGCGAACATGGACCTGAGGAAAGCCTTCTTTCCCCCCACCCTCTTCTGCAGACTCCCTGGAGGAGGAGCAGGCCACAGTGCTGCGGCCCGCCTCCCCGCTGATGCACATTGAGGCCTTTCTGGCAGCTCTCACCACTGCCAACCAGGATGGCAGGGTCATCCTGAGCCGCCAAGGTAACTGACTGCTTGTGGCAAAGGGGCCTGGCTTGAGCGGGCTCTACCATACTGCCCGCGCTCTCTGTGTGTGAAGGGGCCACATGCCTCCTGGGCCTGGGGCCTGCAGTGGCCCTGGAGACCAGGTCTCAGAGGTGCCCAGTTGTCTCCGTCTCCTACAGAGCCAGAATCTCACGGTTGAGGTCAGGTGGGGTTGGGCTTCATTTTTGTTCTCTTGTCTTGTCTGGGGGTTGGTTGTGTGGCACTGGCGTCTACACGCAAGTCCATAGTACCGATGACAAGAGAAACGAGTTTTTCCTTAGAGGGACAGTGCTAGCTAGCTCACTGGCATCCGTGGGTCGTCCGGGGTTTCCTATGCCTAGTCCACTCCTCTCTCTGCCTTTTGTCTGTCTTTCAGGCAACGTTGGTGAAAGCAGCCTCAAATTCTTGCTCTTGAACCCAGCTGTGCACTTCGCCCAGGTGGTGAGGGAATGCCGAGCAGTGGTCATTGCAGGTGGCACCATGCAGCCGGTAAGGCACCAGGGTATCCGTCAGGTCTCTTCTCTGTCCCCTGGAACCCCAAACAGAAGTGTGCTAGCTCGTGCAGACCCAGCAGTGCCCACTAGTGCCGCTGCCCGTGCCTTAGGCTGGTGGGGTGGTCGCACTCGGGTCTTGTCTGCCTCAGGCTGGTGGGGTGGTCGCACTCGGGTCTTCTCTGCCTTAGGCTGGTGGGGTGGTCGCACTCTGGTCTTCTCTGCCTTAGGCTGGTGGGGTGGTCGCACTCTGGTCTTGTCTCTCTGCAGCCCCGGAAGCAGGCTTTTCTGAGAAAAAGCCCTCTATAGTCCCAGACCCTCTTATTCCTTTCCTAACCCAGCACCTCTCTTAGGAAGTCATTGCATGTATGTTTTTAGAAGGGTTATGTAGTTTTATTATAGAAATCAAAGACAAGCTATAGACATCACAGTTCTATCAACAAAAGATTCATGCTGGTGTATGTAACATGAATGTAAATACAAGCATTTTGCATGTGTACATATTTTTTTAAAAACACACATATATTATTGGTATAATTTGCTTTTTATCTCTGCAACAAAATGTTAATATTTATCCTTGTCAGCAAATATGCATTCTAGCATATTCTACTGTGTTGCATTCTAACCATGTAGATATGCTACTCACAGCACACCTGCTTTGTTGGTCCTTAGCCTATTTTCCTGTTGTCTCTGGTTTCACAGTTCTGTGATCAATGCAAACGTGGGCCTCAGAGCCAGTGTGGGCCGGGCAGATGCTCTGCCAGCGAGGCACACTCCAAGCCCATAGGCACTTGTTCAGTTTTTGGTTTGCCGTTCATATGTACAGATTTGTATATTTGTATGCATTTGATGGGTTAATGTTGTGTGTTGTTATTATTCATGGTCATTATTCTGGTGTGTGTGTGTGTGTGTGATGGGGGTCTCACTATGTAGTCTTTGTGTCTGTTTGTCTGTTTGTTTGTAGACAGGGTCTCTCTACATAGCCCTTGCATTCACTGTATAGATTAGGCTGGCCTCGAACTCATAGAGATCCATCTATCTCTGCTTCTTAAGTCCTGATATTAAAGACCTGTGTCACCATGCCCAGCCCAGGGTTTCTCTGTATTGTTTTGGAGGCTGTCCTGGCACTCACTCTGTAGACCAGGCTGGTCTCTAACTCACAGAGATCGGCCTGCCTCTGCCTCCCGAGTGCTGGGATTAAAGGTGTGCGCCACCAACACCCAGCTTACTGTGTAGTCTTAAAGAATGTCCTCAACTGAAGTTACAGACTGTTGTAAGTCAAACTCAGGTCCGTGCACGAGCACTGAGGGCTCTTACCCACATGTCTATCTTTCTAGCACCCAATTTTTTTCTTAGATGTTTTGTCCCTGTGTATGTGTTTTTTATATTCCTCCTTGTATCACTCTCCTGTTTTCACTCCATTCCCTCCCATTGGTCTCCATTGTCTCCATAAACAGTGTGTCATATATGTACAATGATTTCATTATTTATATAGGATCTAGGACTGCAGCTGGGCTCAGTCGCTTCATGTGATCTTCCTCAGTTGCAACAGTTTTTCTGTCAATTTTGTTTTTTTCTGAGACAGGGTTTCACTGTGTAGCACTGGCTGTCCTGGAACTCACTTTGTAGACCAGGCTGACCTCAGACTCACAGAGATCCACCTGCCTCTGCCTCCCAAGTGCTGGGATTCTGCCTGGCTTGAGCTTGCTCTGGTCTCAATCTGTGACATCACTGTGACAGGTTTAACCTGCCCTGTTACACCCTGAAACCGTTTTCTTGATGTTATCTCTCACCTCTGAGTGTTACCCCTGTCCCATCTTCCAGATGACCCTTAAACTTTTGAGTGTTCTGTTTTCTTGGCTGTCATTTGGTTAGGATAAGGTAGCATTGTACACTGTTGATTTTGATACATAGAAAGTGTTCAGGGGCTGGAGAGATGGCTCAGAGGTTCAGAGCACTGGCTGCTCTTCCAGAGGTCCTGAGTTCAATTCCCAGCAACCACATGGTGGCTCACAATCATCTGTAATGAGATCTGGTGCCCTCTGTATACATAAAAAAAAGAAAGCAAGTTCCTGAGCCAAATGTGTCCGCTTCCTCTGCTGTTACGTTTCTGCCAGCGGTGGGTCTGTTACTGATGTTTCATCTAAAGGTCCCTGGACTTTCCTGTACCCCCTCTTCTTTCTGTTGTGTGGGCTCTCTGCCTCCTGTCCCAGAATTCCCTCACCTGCACTGCACAGCACCTCCCCCCCAAGCTCTGAGTCCCCCCCAAGCTCTGAGGTCATGAGGCCCTGATGTTACCGCTGCAGGTGTCTGACTTTCGGGATCAGCTGCTGGCATGTTCTGGAGTGGAAGCTGAGCGGGTGGTGGAGTTCTCCTGTGGTAAGGAACCGTGCAGAGGGTAGAATGGGCCACGGATTCTGAGGTCTTGATTTAGTTACCCTTGGCCAAAAGCAGAGGCCACCATTGGACTGGGATGTTACTTCTAGTGAGTTTGCTCACCAGCACACTGTCTCGGGTTCCAAAGTTCTGCACTCTCCTCACCACATGCCTTACATTGGGAATGTGGGTGCAGAGAGAGGCCGTGTGCATTTCAAGTTTCTGCTCCTAATTGGGGAGATGATTTGAGAACCTCCCCTACCTACCTGGACACTGGCTTTCAGCCCTGTTTTGGTATCACCAGGTCATGTGATCCCTCCAGACAACATCTTGCCCCTTGTTGTATGCAGCGGGCCCTCTAACCAACAACTGGAATTCACCTACCAGAGACGAGAGCTGCCTCAGATGGTTAGTGCTAGCCCATGTCCCGTTCTCTCTGGTGTGTGTCCAGGGCAGAATTCTTACCAGCATTGGCACTGGGGCAGATGGTCACATCTGACACAAGTAGAGTGTTTTTTAAAGATATTTATCAAGGAAGATCTTGGCTGTCTCCCTCTCCATCGACTACTAAATGTTTTCTAAAGAGCTCCCAGCATCTGTCAGTGCGGGATGGAAGGTTGGCCACTTGGGGCGCTCTCGCTCCCGCTCCGTGCCTCTATGCTGGGACTAATGCCTTTCTTGGGCACAGCTCCCATGGCATCTCAGGGTTACTTAGTTCTGGATAGTGTCCCTCATGGCACCGGAACTTAGGAAGATATCAGTGGCATACCAAAAGTCTAGTTCTGGGGTGCCAGTGGTGGGATGTGTCATAAAGGCAAGCATTCACCAGAGTACCCAGTTGGGCGTGTCTGTAGAGAGTAGTGCATTTCACGCTACACAAGGGGACCTGCTTGGGTGTGACTGTGAGACCTGTTCCCGGCTAGCTGTTTGTCTGCCTTCTTCAGATGGAGGAGACAGGCCGCGTCCTCTGTAACTTGTGCAACGTGGTCCCTGGAGGGGTGGTATGCTTCTTCCCTTCCTATGAGTACCTGCGCCAGGTACACGCTCACTGGGACAAGACTGGCCTGCTGGCACGCCTGTCTGTCAAGAAAAAGGTGAGTGCCCCTGACCCTGCTTGTGAGGACATTGCCAGCCTGCAGCTCTTCCCAGGGCCCCTCACTCTCGTGGACTTGGCATGGTCCAGAGTGTCCCGGCTCCTATATCTACCAAGTCTGGGCCTGAGACACTGGCCACAGGGTTCCCCAAAGCTCGATTCCATGTTCTATCCTCAAGCCTCAAAACCCAGACTGAGACTCAAGACTCAGTCTTTTGAAGCCTTTTGCCGAGCGGCCTTCTCCCTTCAGCTATTCCAGGAGCCCAGGAGCGCGAGTCAGGTGGAGCAGGTGCTGGCGGCGTACTCTAGGTGCATTACGGTGAGAGAAAGGACCCTCGGTGCCCGGCTGCTGGGAACACATGTGAGGCTCCCAACTCTGGGTTTGGCTCAGCAACTCTGGTGTGGCTCTCCCCCCACAGTGCTGCGGTCAGGCAGGAGGCCACCTGACAGGGGCCTTGCTCCTCTCTGTGGTTGGAGGGAAGATGAGTGAAGGGATCAACTTCTCTGATGACCTGGGCCGGTAGGTGTGGTGTCCTCTTGTCCGGCGGGGCTGAAGGCACTGGGCCCAACCTGCCCAGTCACACCGTAGGGTCGGCACTCATGTGGCCTGCTTGGGGTCTGTAGGCTGCGGGTGGAGGGTTTGAAACCCATCTCCACCTGGCTTCATAGAACAGACAAGTGGGCAGCCATGACTTGCAATCACACACTATTTATAATTGCATCAGTTGATCTCATGTGGATGATGACCCGATGGCTATTTGATCACTTATGCCATGGGCCATGTAACCTATGACAGGTGTGTGGTGATGGTGGGGATGCCGTACCCCAACATTAAGTCTCCAGAGCTGCAAGAGAAGATGGCTTACTTGGATCAGACCCTGGTGAGTGCTTCAAATGGTGACAGGAAAGGGCTGGGGAGAAGTGGAGAAGGAAACTCCTGGGCCTAGATGCAAGGACCTGCCTTGTGACAGAGTATTGCACAGCTGCTGTCACTCCTCCCACAGGCTTTGGAGTATACCTCAAGTCTCCTTGCCCCCTTGATCTTCTCTATAAGACATTCTAGAGCACAGGCTCTAAAGCCCTGGGTACCAGGCAAGCGAGAGTAGATTCTGATCTGCCTGCTGTTTTCTTTTCTTAGCCTAGGACGCAAGGTCAGGTCCCCCCAGGGAAGATGTTGGTGGAGAATCTGTGTATGAAGGCTGTAAACCAATCCATAGGTAAGTCTGGGGCTGCTGCTGGAGCAGATGGATGGGTCGAGGAAGGAGGGATTTTACTGCTGTATTGTCTACTCGAGCAAACGAGGGAGCCCCAGTGGACATGTAGTATTGGTGAACTCAAGTCCCAACCTGTGTGTCTACGCAGGCAGGGCCATTAGGCACCAGAGAGACTTTGCCAGCATCTTGCTCCTGGATCATCGGTACGCCCGCCCGCCTGTCCTGGCAAAGCTGCCAGCCTGGATACGAGACCGAGTGGAGGTCAAAGCCTCCTTTGGCCCTGCCTTTGCTGCTTTGCGGAAGGTTAGGTTTGCTCCCCGTGCCCCAGACCTCCCCAGCCTGGAATGGGGCTTCTCACGGCGTTTCTCTCCCTGCAGTTTCATCGGGAGAAATCACAGCCCTGTCTGGTATAGGCTATTCTTCTGCTTGGCCTAAGGTGGTCAAAAGCATATGCAGCCTCTGGAGGCACTGCATTCCGTTGTGAAAAGCATATGCAGCCTCTGGAGGCACTGCATTCCGTTGTGAAAAGCCACCAGGACAAATGCAGTTCACCCTGAAGGAACATGGCCGGGAACCTCTTTCTCAGGAACCTCATTCCCACAGCGCCTGGCTCAGGTTCAGCTTTCTGCCTGGCGCCAGAAGACTGCAAACATCCGCTCTCTGCCCTTTTGTGAGGTGAGGCCCAGCCTGCCTCCATCCTTTCCAGGGAGAGTGAGTTGTTCTTGCTCTTTGACCCCAGTCTCAGCCACGGATGACTCTGTTCAGGGCCCTGCTGTCCACAGATGACTGTTCAGCGCTCTGCTGTCCACCGATGACTCTGTTCAGGGCCCTGCTGTCCACAGATGACTGTTCAGCGCTCTGCTGTCCACCGATGACTCTGTTCAGGGCCCTGCTGTCCACAGATGACTGTTCAGCGCTCTGCTGTCCACGGATGACTCTGTTCAGGGCCCTGCTGTCCACAGATGACTGTTCAGCGCTCTGCTGTCCACGGATGACTCTGTTCAGGGCCCTGCTGTCCACAGATGACTGTTCAGCGCTCTGCTGTCCACGGATGACTCTGTTCAGTGCTCTGCTGTCCACGATGACTCTGTTCAGCGCTCTGCTGTCCACGATGATTCTGTTCAGCGCTCCGCTGTCCACAGATGTCTCTGTTCAGCGCTCCGCTGTCCACGGATGTCTCTGTTCAGGGCCCTGCTGTCCACAGAGCCTCCATGTTCAACTGTGTCTCCAGGAGGAGGTGGATCTCTCTTACTTGGCTGCTGCTCCTTCCTCAAGCCTGGGGCACATCTTTTCTTCAGCCTGCAATACCACCACACCTACTGTGGCCTTAGAAGCAATGCCAGGGTCACTAGACTCTCCATGTGACTGCTTTTAGAGTCCCTTTGTCACCAGAGCATTCTTGGCTGTGGAGAAGTAACCCTCACTCTGCAGTACTTGACCCCCGACTCAGCTCTGTCTTGAACCCAGAAAAGATGCTCTACTCCCTCAAACATTCTGTTTCATTGCTCAGACTGCCAGAGCAGAGGACAGACCATGATCTGCTAAGCCAGCTCCATCTGGCAAGGCCCCCTTCCTTTACTCAATAAAGGGCACTGTTCACGTGGGCTGAGGCCTGCAAGCACAATTCCTTACTGTTGTGTGTTGCTGCTGTCTCAGTGCTAACTAAGGTAAACCAAGGTGCTGCTGGTGCCGATCAGGCCGTCGCGTGAGTTAGTGGAGCTGCCACATGGTGCACACAGCCCCAGGACATAAAAAGGGGTGAGACAGGATTAGCGACATTTGTCCAGCCACATCACCCTCTCTGGACGACAGGACTTTTAGACGTCCACTTGCACAGGAGCCTTCAGGGCTCTTCCTGCTGCAGTGAGTGAGGATGGCCAGGTTCTGCCTAGGGGAGCCTGATCCACAATTAACATCGTGCACTGTTGGCCAGATTATAGACTTGCATCATAGATTCAAATGTTTACTCATAACGGTCCATGGTTGCCAGTGAAGCTTCTTAAATCCATTTTGCTTTCTTTGAGTTGAGACAGGGAAAATTGGACATGTTTCTGTATTGGGGTATCTAGGGTCAATCTAAGGGTAAACATCCCACTTGAAGGAGTCAAGATCCCCAAAAGGGTTGATTTGGCAGTGCTCCAGGGAGATAGAGGGGACCTTAGTTATCAAAATTGGGAAGAAGTTTTAAGAGGGAGGATTCTTTGCATGGGGATTTCATTCCTTTCCTTGGTAGATCCCTCCACGGGTGAGACAATCATAGCTAGAATCCAAGTGTCTCATCTGCACCTCAGGGGTGAGGCCTATATTTTCTCAGAGAAGAGCAGTTGAACAAAAGTCATCTTTAACTACTCTCTTCCTGTACACGGGGCATCTCTCACCAACTTCCAACCTTTCTGCCTGTACAAGCTGAAACATAGCTTCTCTGGGGGCCAAGACATCTCAGACTTGACCTGAGAACCCACAGAAATATACTAATTTATTAGGGGGTGTAATGAAAAGACAAACTCGCTGCCCAGGAATCAAGGTTACCAACCATACTGCCTCTGCTGCTTGGTCTCTGACCGCACCACACCAGGGCTTGATGTGATTCTAAATTTTCTCAGGGTCCCTATAAAATCACTGAGTCCAATAGTCAGCAGGACGTAATCTAGAAAACTATGCCCACATTCCCAAATATTGCTTATAAATGTTATCATTGAAAGGGGATTGGCTATAAATGATTAATGGTCACAGTTAATCTCTAAAAAAGGGGGGTTATGATATAGAAATGAATACTTCACCTTGGTATGGCTTTTGGTTTATTCATACAAATTTAAGGTCAATTTTGTTATATTGCACATATTTCTACTCTTGTTTAAGGTATTGTGTTTATACAGCTCAGTTAAAAATGCAATGTACTGTTAAATATAAATTAATAGTCACCTATGGCAGTCAAGCGTGTAGTCATGTTAGTTAGGTTTCCCAGATATACAGAGATATATTTCAGATGCATAGGTGATTGTCAGACACTTCAAAAACCTACAGAATGTGGCATTTAAAATGTTTTAAGAACTTAGACTTTTCTCAACAGTGAGACCTGTCTGCTCCTGGTAGCATCAATTTCTTCAAGAAGAAGATGGGCACTGAAGAAGCTGCTTGTGGAATTTGCTCTCAATGTGGCAAGAACTTGCTCTTGCCTGGACTGCTTGACTGTATAAGCTAGACATGCAGGACCCACAGGAAAGTGACCGCTGAACTTTATCAAAACAAGATGGGATGGTCCTTCAGGGTTTCTGCTTCAGAGAAGAAACTGTCAGACATTCTGCAGGACACAGAAGAAAGCAATTGAGAAATTTTGCCAGAACAGTCCTTCAGATTTCCTGCTTCACTCAGAACTCTGCCAGATACTCTGGGCCTACAGGCTGAAGATGGATGCCCCAGCATTACAGAGGAACTCTGGAAGATGCTTACTTAGTTAATATTATACCCTTCTGGGGTCTTTGATGGAGTTGAAGACTAGATACTTACAGTTATCCTTAGTTATGACAAAAGATAAATTAGATAGAAAAATTTAGACTCACAATGATAGGCTAGATGATAGAGTATTTTTTTCCAATGCAAACAGACTAAATATTGTAACTAATTCTTGCTTGATACCTGTTTTGTTATATGTAGTTATACTTCTTTAATTAAATAGAAAAGGGGAGATGATGTGGGGTGTCCATATGTAAGCTGCGAATATGGGTTGCTTTTATTGGTTGATGGATAAAGCTGTTTTGATCAATGGCCAGGCAGAATAAAGCTAGGCAGGAAATCCAAACAGTTACAGAGAAACGAGGTGAGGGAGGGAAGACAGCTGCCAGGGAAGTGAGATGTGAGGTGACAAGCCACAAGCCTCATGGTAGAATATACACTAAAAGAAATGGGTTAACTTATAGGTAGAGGGAGCCAGGAAGAAGCGTAAGCCACTGGCCAGCAATTGTAATTAATACTAAGTCTTAGAGTGCTTCTTTGGGAACTGGGGGCTGGGACAAGAAACCTCCAGCCACACAGACTCAACATCTCTTACGGAAGGAATATTCTGACCAGGACTGTGTGCAGTTGACTTTGGGAACCTTCTAAGTACTTACTGGTAGAACTTTTCCCAGTTCTATGGATGGGAGGATAAGGGAGTGTCAGGTTGGATCTTGGAGATCCTTGTTTGCAGAGAGTGAGGCATTGGTGGAATCTGAAAGTTCTCTCCAATGCCTAGGCACCATACATAGCAAACTAGAACAGTTTAATGGTAAGAAGAGGGGTAATTGGAAAGCAAAAAATAGGAAGGGGTGGGAGCAACCACTAAATTGTGACTATTTCCACGCATAAATTACATGCAGTGTTGTGGAATGTTAGTGTAAGATGTGTTACACTCATTTATGCCGTGGAGTTTCTGTCAAATGATGCAAAGTTACTGTATTCTTTTATGTTGGATTTGTTTAAATCTGTAAAGCTGTATGACTCTGCCTGCCTACAACACCTGATTGGTCTAACAATGATCTGAATGGCCAATAGCCAGGCAGGAGAAAGGATAGGCGGGGCTGCCAGCAGAAAGAAAAAACAGGAGGAGAAATCTAGACTCAAGAGGACAAGGAGGAACAAGAAAAGGAGAGAGAGGTGTACCTCAGGGGCCATCTGTCACCCAGCCAGCCGCTGTGTAAGTGTAGGAAGACACACAGAATAAAGAAATGCAAAAAGCCCAGAGGCAAGACACTGTTAAACAGAAATGAGATAATTTAAGTTAGAAGAGCTGACTAGGAACAAGCCAGGCAAAGGCTGTGCATCCGTAAGTATAACAAAGTCTGTGTGTGTTTACGTGGCAGCTGGGTGGCAGGCCAGCAGGTGCAAAAACAAAACAAAACAAAACAAAAAAAATTCCAAGTATAATACATGTTGTTTTAATGTCTAATTATTCTGTCACCAGACTGCCTCAGCATACAGGTGTTGGACGCTGAAGTCACAGAGATTAAATAACTGCAGGCTTGGGACACAGCTCACTGGCACAGCCCTTGCCTAGAAACAGCCCTGAGCTTCATCTCCAACAGAAAGACATTGGGGGAGTTCAGGAGGGGAAACTTTAGTTACTCCAAGAAGAAAATCACGGATTTAACCCAGCTCTGTTGAGAGCTCTGCTTCGGTGAAGCTCACTCAGGTACACGAGACCCTGCAGGACTGAACAGGAGATTCCCTGAGATGACGCACACGAGGTGAAGAGTGTCGCCTTCTGGGACCCCAGGCACAGGGGCTGCTGGCAGACAGACTGCAAGCCTGCCTGTATTTCAGGATCTTCACCAAGTATGTGCTGTGGCTGTCTGTCATTCTGCTCTAAGGACACACATGGAGTCACAAATTTACTTTGCCATACATTTGTTTACCCAGAACGTGACCCAAATGGCCTCTTCAGTGCCTGCTCCCTTACACCTCAGCTCCCACTGCCATGGAAACTACCCCTCATGTTCTTTCCCTCTCACCGTCAGGTGAAAACCTGATTAATATTGCCTCTGTTTAAGACAGTTCAGTAGTCCATGTCCACGCTTGGTGTGGGAGAGAGCCGAGCTGTTCCTCTCTTTAGTGTCTGCAAGAATTTCAGTATCCATGCACCTTCAGTGCTCTCTGCTGGACCACCAGCTGTCCCAGAGAAGGAACTCACAGATCCTGAGAATTGGTACAGGAAGCTTCGGTGCAGACAGGAAGGGCAGAGAAGCGCCTCAAGGTTCTTATCTGTGTAAGTGTTCCCCAATTAACACTCATGTTTCATTTATCTTGGCTCTAGTGAAATCATTACACCCTCATCTTCATTTTCCTCCCCCCCTTCAAAACCTTGCGCTCTAATTTTTGGTTTTCACCTGTCTCTTTCTTCACTGTGAGGGCCTCATTTAGGAATCTCAAGATAGTGAGGCTGTGAGAAAACTTAGCTATCTAAGTGGAGAAGATCCCTTTTAATTTAGGAATTTTTTTCATGGAGATTTCATGAGTGTCCTTGGTAGGCACATGCAGGTGTGAGCTGGTCATAGCTAGACCGTCTCCCTTCACCCCCTCCTCCTACCCCCCCTCCCCTCCAGGTCCCCTCCTCCAACCCCCTAAGCCACAGGACTTTGTGTCCCATGCTCATGTCTCTCCTCTATATGAGGGAAAACACCAGGTCACGCAACTTCAGAATGACCATGACAAATCTGCTCATTCTTTCGCTCTCCCCTCTCCAACTATTACATTCTTGAGAGCTGAGCCAAACCATGCTTCTGCTATGTTCTCTGATGTCTAATGTGCCTCACCTCCACCTGTGAGGCAGACGCTACTGAAGTGATTTCCTCTTTATGCTCTAACAAAGTTTGGATGATGTTCAGTGGACAGAGATAGCCAATAGTTAACCAAAGCGGTCTGGAGGCCTGCACAGACAGACTGGAAGTGACATGTGACATGGCTGGTCATACAGATGTGGTGATAAGTTGGGAGGAAACAAGAGTTCAGTCTCTTTTCAGCTGTGAAGTTGAGGGGGTGAGTTGTGACTGTGATTTGCTCCTTTATCTCTCTGGTCTTAGAGCATTTACCCTTATATCTGGCTTGGTAGGAATTCAAGAAAAATCCACTTCCTGGTGGTTTCCAGCCACT